GTGGCAAGACTATAATATTTGCATGAGTCCAACTTTCTAGGGCAGTGTCTAACAAGTTTATGTGTTGACAGCCACTGAATATAGGAGAGCATGGATTTCATGGTCTTGCCAGTTAGAGATCTTGGGGGCAAATGAATATAAGAGATTTGCTGTGCTTTTAAGGTCAGTGAAGTGTCTAAATGAATGACAAAGCTTTGGAAACAGTTATAGTAAAGTGTTGCTGTCATTGGAAGGTCTCAAGTTTGGGAACACAAAATCAAGCAGTTTTTTCCTAAGAACTGCAATATTCTGGGAAGAAATTGTCTCAGTTCATTCTAGGAAAAGTAAGCAATGTGAAGAAAACACACAGATCTTCAGAGGTTATTTGTGGAACATCCATTTGAAGGTATTTATTGGGATCCTGATCTTGAATTTATAAGGCTAGCAGTCTCATCAAGATGGACTTGGCTGATTCGACTTCAGCATTTCAGTACATTACCTTACCAATGCCAGTTGAGTATAATGTTCAGTTCATCTGTGAGTTTAGTTGGTAATTTCAAGTAGTTTTTGCAAAGTTTCATTGAGGTCCTCTGGTGCCACCAAGTGTCTGTCCTGAAAGTATGCTGGAAGAGATTTTCTTTGTGTGATTTATAAAGTTTTCTTTTTTGGACTTAGGAGCCAGTTTTGGGTATTCCAAAAATTTGGCTTTTTAGGTATCATAGAAGCCTGCATAGTGTGTCACGAAAGTTGGCTAGGGCATTTCCTTTAGCTTTATTGTTATTTTTAAATGTGGTATTATGATAACCACCCTCATGGGAAGCATTGGAGCCTTAAGATTCTTGACAATTAGAAATTGGGTCTTCTGAGGTTAGAAACTCATTATTTCTGCAGAATTCCAAAGGCAGAGCTGCTGTTACAGTTAATTTAGTTCTCTGTCTCTAACAGTTGGCAAGCTTTGCTAAGTAGGATAAGTTTTGTCATCTGGGTTGCTTTTACTTTTGGTAATGAGTCATAATTTAGGAGTCAGTTGAGACTGTCACAGTATATCCTGCCTAATATTTTTCCCATTTCAGTTTCAAAGTATGACCTACACAACAAATAAGATTAAACCTAGACTTAATTTAAAGAGCATTTCTAGTAAATCTGTTTGAGACATAGTCATTGCTCAGAGAATACATCATTATGGATTTTCCTTTTTTGAGTAATAGAAAAATATGAATAGACTGTAAAAAAATGAAGAACTTCAGAAAGGGCATTTGGCGCAGCAGTTAAGACATTGTTTGGGAAGCCTACATTCTGTGTCTAAGTACTGGCTTGGCTTCCATGTGTCTCCCTGCTCATGCATACCCAGGGAGACAGAGGCTGGTTGAAGTCTTTGTCATCTATGTGGGAGACCCAGAATGAATTCCATGCTTTTGGCTGTAGATGTCAACCCAGGTACTGCAGGAATTTGACACTGGACCAGGAAATGGATGTGCTCTTCCTATATTTTTCTTTTATCTGTCTTTAAAAATATTCTTTTAGAAAAATTTAAGATTTTAAACTTTATTTGAACGAGGGTTACAGAGAGAGAGGGAGAGACAGACCTTCAACCTGCTGTTTCTCTCCCCACATGGTCGCGATAGTTGGGACTAGACCAGACCATAGCCAACAGCCAACAATTCTAGCTGTGTCTTCACTGTAAGTGGCATGGGCCCAAGCACTTGGACCTTCTTCCATTGCCTCTCCAGACACATTAGAAATAGAGCAGCTGGTATTCAAACTGATGTTTGTTTATATGGGATGCTGGCATTACAGGTGGCAGCTTAATCTTCATACCCCAACATCATTGTAAGTTTTCCTAAGTGAAACTTTGTCCACTTTGATCAATATTTCCCTATTCCCTCTAGACTGTTTACCTTCTGGTAACCACTATTTTATTCTCAATGTCTGAAAATTGAACTTTTTTACATTTCACATATAAATGAGATCAGACAGTATTGCCCCCCTCTTTTTTTTTTAAGCATGCCTTAAAGTATTGGAACATTGAGTGGAGATGCATGGGGAGAGAAAGTGGTAGAAGTGCATAGGAGGTGAACTTGAATGCTGAGAAATATGTTTTTGGTGAGCAACAGGATTATAAAGTATGAGGAACTATCAAGTGTAAACAAGGTCTTTTTTTTAAAAGACTGTTCAGTGAAAAAATTACAAAGAAGGAATGAGGGAAACAGGGAGGCAGGAATTAAAAGAGGGGAGAGAGAGAGAGAGAGAGAGAGAGAGGGAAAGAGAGATATCAATCTATCAGTCGATTAATCTTTTACATACTGGTTCTTTCCCCAAATGCCTGCAACAGCCAGGCTGGACCAAACCAAAACCAGGATTGGGAGTTAAATCCGGATCTCCCACTTGAGTTCAGGGACCCAAGCATTTGGACCACCTTCCACTGCTTTCTCAGGTACATTGGATTGGAGAGTGTCACAAACCAGAGCCCCTTTGGGATGCTAGTATTAGAGGCCACAACACTGACCTTCCCGAAGAATTATTTTTAAATAACAGAATCCTTACTCATGTTTAGCTGCTGAGGGGGAGATTCCATTAGAAGACTGAAGTTGTATATGGAGGGATAATGACTTGAGAAATCTGTGAAACCCAAAGTCTGCAGTAACACTCAAAGTGTGAAACAGTGAGAGCCCGTACAGACGATTAGAGGTGTCCACTGTCTCAGTAGCTCAGTGACTGTGAAGGAGTCAGTCTTTCTACTATTTAGAGAAAGTTCTCTTTACAAGTTTGAGAATAAAATAAGAAAGGAGTACATATTTTCCTCCCAAGGCAGGGTCATTGATTTGCCTAGGTGTTTTTAGTAAGAAGTTTCTCTTGGTGCTTGATGACCACAGTGGGAACATTTTGCTTTTACATCTGCATGGCGGTCAGTTTATTCTGTTTTGGTTTAAGCCTTTTTTGGAGATGTGGTAATAAACTGTGTGTATTTAGGGTTGTTCACAGAAAGTGATGAGAGAATTGAAGTCACATCTTCAGTATTTACCATTTAAAGAATCTCTCTGAAGTCATCTGTGAATGTTATTTTCCTTCCTTGCTTGCAGGACTTTTTCTGTTTTCATAGAAAAATCTTTGGGAATAGTCTCCTCTACAACTTTTCTAAACGTATCTGGTTTCCTATGCACTTTGGGACTTTTTACATTATTCTTGGGATCATCTTTTCATTTTATCTTCCCCACTCTTTTTTTTTAATCTGTGAATTCGAAGCAATTTTAAAAAAAGATGTATTTATTTTATTGGCAAGACAGATCTACAGAGACAAGGAGAGACACAGAGAGAAATCCTCTGTCTACTGGTTCATTCTCCAAATGGGTGCCAAATGACTGGAGCTGAGTTGATCTGAAGCCAGGAGCCTGGAGCTTCTTCTGGGTCTCCCATGCTGGTGCAGGGTCCCAAGACTTTTGGTCCTCCTTCACTGCTTTCCCAGGCCACAAGCAGGGAGGAGGATGGGAAGTGGAGCACCCATGTTGGATCCAGGTGCCTGCAAGAATTTAGCCACTAGGCTATTGTGCTGGGCCTGGAACAGTTGTTTGGGCCTGTCTGGGAAGAGGCACTGTTATATGCATATGTATATTTAAAAAAATTGCCTGGGAGAAAGAAAGCAGACAAGCTTCTATTCATTGATGTGCACTTCTTAAATGCCCACAACAGCCAGAACTAGGGCAGGCTGAAGCTGGGAGCCAGAAACTCAAGCTGGATTTCCCATCTGGATGGTAGGAACTCAGTTACTAGAGCGTTGTTACTGCCTCTCAGGATCTGCCTAAGCGGGAAGTTGGAGTCTGGAGCTAGAGCTGGGAATCAAACCCAGGCACTTTGATGTGGGGCACAGGCATCTTAACTGGTGTCCTAACTGCTGGCTGAATGCTTGCCATGTCTACACATTTTTAAATTAGCTGTGAGAATTGAAATGCCTGAAAAGTAATTACTGACTTAAGAAAAACAAATAATCTAGGAGAATAAATAATATATAATGATAACAAATGGGTAATGACTGTTGATTGAAGGCACAATTTTAAGTGTGTTAAAAGAATAGGAGGAGATATGTGGCAAGAATGCTTAACTTGGATCTGTCATTATAAGAGGCCAGTAGATAAACCAGAAAATTGGTGAATGGAAGCATTTAGAAATCTGGAGGCCAATAATGGGAAAATCTGGCTAACTACCGTTTTTTGACCTAAGGAATTTTTAGTGATGATATTAGAACCAATCTTTTTTTTTTTTTTAAGTAGAAGTTACAAAGAGAGGGAAAGGCAGAAAAATCTTTCATCCATTGATTCACCACCAGGCTGGGCCATGCAGAAGCAGAGCCAGGAACATTATCCACATCTCTCACGTGGGTGGTAAAGGCTCAAGTATTTGGGCGACCTGCATTTCTAGGCACCCGTATCGATTCTGGCATTGCTGGAGGCAGTGTAATTTGCTGTACCACAGTGCTGGTCCCCAAAGAACAGTTTTAAAGTTATTTTGAAAGTAAAATATAAAACCTACAATTTGACAAAAAATGGATAAGAAAAGAGAAAAGCATGGAATGAAAACATATGTATGCATGCTTTTTAGAAAATGCCTCGTGATAGTTTTGGTTTGCAAAAAAGTTATTTCATTGAATTTAACGAAATGTATATAAGCTTGTGAGCATTATGTCTGCAATAATAAACCTGATGTCTCTGTCAGACATAAAAATATAGTCAGCTTTTATACTGGGAGTACTAATGAATTACTTTTGATTAAAAGGTATGTGCTTGAATGAAGTTTTAATCAAGCCAAGAGTTTATTGAAAAAGTAACATGCTTTTATCATGAAGAAGCAACTGGAAGCAAATTTTTTACATGACAGTTTCATGACAAAACAAAAATTGTTTTAGAGTTGCATTTCCAGAGCCTGAAATAATACATGCATTAAGTGTATTTAACTGTTATTTAAATTGTAAACCTGAGTATGATTTAAAACTTGAATTGCTAGAATTTATATTTTAATTTTTAAAATAGGAAACTCTGCAGAATCAGAAGGAAACATTAATAAAGCAACACAGAGAAGCAATGGCAGTTTTTAAAAAGCAGGTAATTTCGTAAGGATAGACGAACACTTCAGTATGAAGTACGTATTTGCTTTTCTTCTTCTTCTCAAGTGGCTGCACTGGCCAGAGCTGAGTTGGTCCAAAGCCAGAAGCCTCCTCGGGGTATCCAGCACAGGTGCAGGGTCCCAGGGCTTTTTGCCATCCTCTGTTGTTTTTCTAGGTTAAAAGCAGGGGACTGGATGGGAAGTGGAGCAGCCAAGATAGGAACCAGCACCTATATGGGATCCTGATGCTTACAGGGGAGGATTAACCAATTGAGGCATCATGCTGTCCTGCCCCCCTCTTTTCTCTCTTCTGAGTATTTTCAAACCCACAGAAGACAAAAAAAAAAAAAAAAAGGAAAGATGGGTATTTTGGTTCATGGGAAATGAATACAGACAGTTTGAATTGTAACAGTGAAACTTTTATGGATGTGGAGAGACATATTCTCACCTTTCCTTTAAATAATTTGTGTAAGATTTGTGTGTGTTCATTCTTTCTCTTCCCTTTTCCCTAAGTATCTAGCATCTTCCCTACAGAGTCCTGATATAGACAAAGAGCCGAGATGCATGTAGGGAGGTGTAAAGTATAAATAGAGGAAATTGTCAAATGCTAAAACTCCATAAATATCAAAACATCAGTAACGAAGAAAGACTGGTAGAAAAATGGAGGAAAAAATTTAAAGCAAATTAATAGCAGTGTATTCAAATTAATTCAAATTCTATAGCTCTTCTTTACTACTTCAAATTTCTATTCAGTGTGCAATTAGACAATATTAGTTTAAGAAAATGTGCTCATGTAAAATTGTGCTGTGGAAATTTTTTCTTTCCATTTGACCTACAATCCTTGTTTTGTCTTCCTTTTCCCTTCAATTTATTTGTCTTGATCTTCATACAAGTATGTATATTTAGAAAAAAGAAATTCACATATAGAATTAAACCTATTTAAGTCTAGTAGTTTAAGGTTATTGATAATTTATATCTTAGTATAAATTTGTTAAAAACAAATGATGGATTTTCTTCATTTAATCTGAAATAGACCCAGTTATGGGTTTTAATTAAACGGTAAGGAATCAGAGGAATCAGAAGCCAAAAGGGAGGCACAGTGTTTTGGGGGAGCAAGTACAGTTTTTCCTGCCACAGGGGACTGTAGTCAAGGTAAAAACACACAGTGACCTGAAATTTTGAAGAGAAAATACTCTTGTGTTCCTTAAAATTTTTTTTTAAAGATTTATTTATTTTTATTAGAAAGTCAGATTTACAGAGAGGAAGAGGAGGCAGAGAGAAAAGATCTTCTGTCTGATGATTCACTCCCCAAGTGGCTGCAACAGCCAGAGCTCTGAGCTGAGCCAAACCCAGGAGGCAGGAGCTTCTTCAGGGTCTCCCATAGAGGGGATGCAGGGTTTCAAGGCTCTGGGCCATCGTTAACTGCTTTCTCAGGCCACAAACAGGGAGCTGGAAGGGGAGTGGGCTATTGGGATTAGAACCAGTGCCCTTATGGATTCCTGGAGTGTGCGAAGTGAGGACTTTAGCCACTAGGTTACCGCTTTGGGCCCCAAATTTGTTTTTAAGGGGTCTTGAATGTGAGTAATTTGGAAAACGAGCTAGGACAATTCCCAAGGTTTTGTTTCTTGACAGTTTTGTTCAAAACCTAATGATGCTTAATACATGTTTTCCTTTTGCATACATGCTGTTTTAAAAAGGTTTGAAAAGTCATTTGTTAAATTGTCACATGAATTTAATTTTTTTCAGAACATCAATACTGCTAGTATAAAAACAAATGATATTGATTTCATAAAATTATGCATTCAGAAAATAATACTATTACTTAGGAGTAGAAAAAACTTAGAATTTGTAGAGTAAAGCTATTAGTATGTCTAATCAGTGTTATTGTTTATTCTGTTCACTGGCCTTTTGCTTTTATATTTTTCTTTTGTGAATGTGAAAGCATAGTCACGTTACATTAAGTTCAAATAACAGACATGTAGAATGTTTCTGCAGTGTCATTAACCTAGTGTAAATCAGTTAACATATACTGACTTCTGTTTTCCTTTTAAAAATTGTCTGTCAAATGAAGTTTCAAATGAAGATATGTGCCTTAGAAGAAGAAAAGGTATGTATTTTAAAAATAATTTGTCATAGCTAAGTGCGATTAATTATCATCTGTTCTGTATAGTAGAAAAGACCTTAGTAGACTAATGAAGCCCATGGGTTAAAATCTTGAAAATAGAAGGAACCCAAGATAATTGTGTTACTTGACCTCTGAAATTTATGTTTTAACTATTGGCTGTGGCAAATCTTGAACTGGAACCCAGACCTTTTGTGCCTCAAATTAATGTTGTTTCTACTCTACTGCAATATTTCTATTAACTGTATGTTTTAGTGCTATTTCAACGTAATTACTTAAAAAAATACTAAATGATTTTGAGTGCAGACCAACTGGTAAAGGGAGATAACAACTAACAAACCGAGATATTTATGAAAATCTATATCAATGACTATATCATTAGTAATGTAACTTATAGTTTAATTTTAGCAGAAGATCTTCTTTGAAAGTTCTTCCATATCCTTATACTCAAAGTATAAATGCACCCATGTGTAATAGTTAATAGTTAAAATGTGTAAGTCCACTACATCTACTGGTCCTGCCTTGTGTGTGTAATTTATAGAGTGGTTACTGGGTTGAAGCCCATAACAAATTGGGTTTAAAGTAGAGGTTTTGGCTCTTGAGCTCTTCATGTTCTTTTATTATAATGTTTACATTTGAAAGTATTGAAATATGCTTTTTTACTTCTAGGGAAAATTTCAACTAGCTACGGAGATAAAAGAAAAAGAAATTGAAGGGTTGAAAGAAACATTAAAAACACTACAGGTAAAATAGCTTAGTATTACTTAAAGAATAATTTGTATTTTAGCATTGTATCAGTTAAGTATCGTTAATCAGGTAAGTAAGGTACCAAAGCAAAGCAGAGAAAAATTCATGAATGATGCATTCCATACTTTAACATAGGTATGTTTTTCCTAGGAGTCTTTCAAATTCAAGTTTCAAATCTTCCTTCATCTTTTAATTTAAAAGGGAATATTAAAGTAACTTATTATTTCCTATATAATTAAACACATATAGCTTTTAATACTTCATACATGAGAAAAATCAGACCTGTTTAGTTAGTTTTAGTTTTAGAGGAAGATTCAGGAAGAAGAGAGAAAGACAGACCTATGGTGCTCCTGGATCACTCCCCAAGGGGTTGCAGTGGCTGGAGCTGAGCCCATCCAGTCAGGAACCAAGGGTTTCCTGAGGGTCTCCTACGTGGATGCAGGGACTCAAGGACTTGAGCCATGCTCCGTTGCTTTCCCTGGCTACAAACAGGAGCTGTTTTTGAAGTGGAGCCCCGCAACTCACGCTGTGCCCATATGGAATGCTGGCATCACAGGGGAGAGTAAGATGCTATACCACCACACTGGCCCCAGGTCTATTTATTATAACATTTACTTTAGATCTTTAAAAGCATTAATTGAATCTTTGCATTATGCTAATCACTGTGCTTGTTTTCTGCATACACAGCCTAAGAAAACAACATTTTCCCTCTGAAGCTCCAAGTCTTGTAGAGAGTACAGAATTATGCAATTAATAATTCATTGAATATATATTTATTGAACGTCTTTGGCAATACAGCATGGAATAAACAAGATAAAAATATCTGCCCCTTTGTAACTTACGTTGTACTTTGAAAACAAAAACATGTAATAAAAAGTAGAAGAAAGAAAGACTGGAGTAGGAGATATTTTTACAATTTCAAAGTGTAATGTATTACAAAGAACAAAACATTTTAAAAACATTTTATTTATTTTTGTTTGAAAGGCAGAATTACAGAGAGAAAGACAGAGATTGCCCATCCCCTGGTTACTTCCCAGATGGCTACAGTGCTCAGAGGAAGGGACAGGTCTTCCATCCCCTGGTTCACTCCACAGATGGCTACAGTGCTCAGAGGGAGGGACAGGTCTTCCAACCCCTGGTTCACTCCACAGATGGCTACACTGCTCAGCGGGGAGGGACAGGTGTTCCTCCATTGTTCACTCCTCAGGGGCCAGTCCAGAGCTAGGAGCCAGGAGCTGCTTCCAGGTCTTCCACATGGGTGTAGGCGTCCAAAACCTTGGGCCATCGTCTTCTGCTTTCCAATGCCATAAACAGGAAATTAGTTCAGAAGTGGAGCCCTGTTCCACCACTTTTTGAATGTTTATGGTACTTGTTGATATTAGTAATGAAACAAAATGAAGAAGTACGGAGCTGATTAAGCTGATTAAGAATACATTTATTAGGATTTGGTCATGAAAATGAAGTTCTTCTATGACAGATGATGTAATGTCTTGAAGTCCTAATAGAAATGGTTGTACCATAAAGACAGAAACTTAAACTGATAAAATTGACAAAAATAATGTAATATTTATCAGTGTCTGTTGAGAATGACATGATGATTATGTAGCTGTTGAAGCAAATTATAGGGGTTCAAATCCTTCCTTTTAAAAATATATATTTAATTTATTTGAAAGCATTCTTAACTGCTGGTTCACTCCCTAAAAGCCCACAGTGGCCAAGGAAGTTGGGTGCCATGAACACAGTAAGCTAAATCTCTTATGAGGGTAGCAGAAACCCAAATACTTGAGGCAGCCTTACTCCCACCCAGGATCTGGCAGAAGGTGGAATTAGCGGCTAGAACTGGAAATCAAACACAGGGACTCTGACGTGGATGTAGGCATCTTAACCATTAGGCTGCATGCCTACTCTGCTGCTTTTCTTAATTTAAGATTTTAACCTAGGTAGATTCTTCAAATGTGTGATTGGATGGTGAATAGCACATTATCTTTCAAGTTTTGTGGTTGAAAGATCCGTAGTTGAAGGCCTGGCACGATAGCCTAGTGGCTAAAGTTCTCGCAGTGAATGCACTGGGATCCCATTTGGGCACCAGTTCTAATCCCAGCAGCCCCACTTCCCATCCAGCTCCCTGCTTGTGGTCTGGGAAAGCAGTTGAGGACAGCCCAGAGCCTTGGGCTGCTCTACCCACATGGGAGACGTGGAAGAAGTTCTTGGTTTCTGACTTCAGAATGGCTCAGATCCAGCTTTGTGGCCACTTTGGTAGTGAGTCATGGGATGGAAGACCTTCCTCTCTGTTTCTCCTCCTCTCTGTATATCTGCTTTTCTAATGAAAATAATAAATCTTAAAAAAAAGAAAGCTGTAGTTGAGTCTGCTCATTTTGAAGTAAAACCTTCTCAAATCATGGAGGTTATTATCATAATAATTGTTAGTAAAATAAATGATCACTTCTATGAAATAATATTTCATAATTTGTATGTGCATTTTGTCATTTTTATGGCTGGGTAATATTCCATTGTGTATGGGTACTACATTTTCTTGACCCATTCATCAATAGGTGAACACTTAGCTTGCTTCCATTTCTTAGGTACTGGGAATAGTGCTGCAGTAAACATGGGAGTATGGATGTCTCTTTGACAGGTGAATTTCATTTCCCATGAGGAAGATTGCTGGATTGTAAGATTGGTGGTTCTCTTTTTAGGCTTTTGAAGAACCTCCATTCTGTTTTCCACAATGGCTGTACTAATTTTCCCTCCCACTCACAGTCTGTTTACTTTCCTCTACACCCTCTCCACAATTGCTGTCTTTTATCCTTTTGTCAAATTTAATTAGAATGATGTGATATTTCATTTTGTAATTTGATTTATAGTTCTCTGATGGTTAGTGATGATAAGTGTTTTTTCACTCACTAGTTGGCCACTTGCATGTCTTCCTTTGAGAAATGTCTTCTTAGATTTGTGGTTCACTTTTTAAAAGATGTATTTATTTGAAGGCAGAAATAGGGAGAAAGAAGCAGAGATAGAGAGAAGGAAGGAGGAATAGGAGCAAGAGAAGGGAAGAGCGAGAGTGATTCCAATTTTCACCCATTGGTTAAATCCCCAAATGGTCACAAGGACCAGAGCTGGGCCAGGCCAAAGCTAGTATCCAAAAGCTCCAATCTGATCTCTCGCTTGGATGGCAGGGGCAAAAGTACTTTGGCCATTTTCTGCTATCTTCCTAGGGGGATTAGAAGGGAGCAGAGCAGCCAGAACTTGAACCTGTACTCTAATGTAGAATGCTGGTGTTGCAAGTGGCAGCTTAACTTGATGTACCACTGTGCCAGTTCCTTACTGCTAATTTAAAAATCATATATATTTATTTATTGCTACTGAGTTTGAGTTCTATCCTGGGTATTAACACTTTATAAGATATATAGATCACAAATACTTTCTCCTATAGATTTGCTCTTTACCCTGTTGACTGTTTCCTTTGCTGTACAGTAGCTCATTGTTTTGACGTTGTATTTGTTTATGTTATGTATTCTGGTGTATCTGATCTGGAGCATTTTTGCCCTTTCCAATGTCCTGGTATGTTTTCTCTTAATAGTTTGAAAATTTCATCTCATATTTAGATTAATTGTTTTTGAATTGATTCTTGTGCATAGTGAAAGATAGGTTCCCATTTCATCCTTCTTCATGTGGATATCCAATTTTCCAAACCCCTTTAATTAAGAAGACTTGTTTTTTCAATGTGTATTGTTATCACTTTGTCAAAAATTAGTTATATATATATATATACACACATATATACATTTATACATACATACATTCACACACACATACATGTATGACTTTTACTTTCATGTCTCTTATCTACTCCAGTGGTTTATAGATATGTTTTTATGTCGCTTCCATGTTGTTTTAGTTAGCTTTTTAGCGTATTTTAAGTCAGGTAACATAATGCTTCTGTCTTTTTTTATTTTCTCCCAAGATCAGGTTGACTAGAGTTATATTTAATTTGTAAATAATTTTGGATGTTAATATATTACCAAAATTAAACACATTTTCATGAAATCAATTCTTTCACTCCTTGAACAAAGTAAGCCAAATTTAGCACAAAGAAAGTGAGTTCCAAGAAAAAGAAATTGTTCCAAGAGAAAGAACAGAATTGATTAAAAGTCGCAGAGTAAATTAGGAGGCTGGAGGATATTTGTGATATAATAAAGAATCTCTGTTCTAGTTTCAAGAAAAAATAGAAAATGTTTATTAGGTTCTGGGAACAGAGATGATTGTGTAAGAAAAATATAAAGCGAATTCAAATTTGAAATGATTTTGAGCAGATGATGGAATCACAAAAGAGAAGATATTTAGATTCTGATCATAGTCAAGGCATTCTTCAGATAGTTTTCTGGCCTATGGAGAAGGCGGTGTTGGATTAGCATCCTATTGGGCTCTGAACTGAGCTGTAACTGTATTGGTTATAGTATCATAAAACGTATGTCTTCTGTTTTTAACATCAACTTATAAAAATCTTGAAAGACTTAATTGTGGTTAGAAAACAAATGTTGTTAACCTTGTCAATACAAAAGAAATAGTGCAATGAGAAGTTTCAGTAAGTTGATGCATCCTCTTGTGAAGGAAGTTGATAATCAGGGAGGCTTTCCCGCTGTTTGTAGGGTCTATGGTATTTCTGTGTACTTTTCCTCTTGAGCTGTTGTGAACCTAAGTTTTTAAAAATCATCTTCCTTCCCACAGCTTCCTGAATGGCTTACAATAGTAATTAAAAAAAAATTCGTATTTGTTGTGTAAAGATGTAGAGCGTCTACTAGGTTCCTCTTTCAATTTACTCTCCAGATACTTGCAAGAGGTAGGATGGACCAAGCCAGAGCTGGAAGCATCTTGTCTTTCATGTGTGGGGCAGGAAATCAATTTCCTAAGTTATCACTGCTGCTTTCTGGGGTTCGAGTGGTAGGAAGCTGGAGTTAGAAGCCACAACCAGGAATTGAACCCAGGAACTCTGATATGGGAGGCAGGTGTTTTAACCACTAGGCAAAATGCTTGCACTAATCATTTATCTGTTTCCCCTGTGTCATATTTCCTATGACTTTAAGATTTATTTTTAATGTGAAAATGAATATGTATTTAAAAATTTAAGCTATTATTGCTTCAAGTATTATTTTTCCCAATAAATGTTGGTGCTTTCGTTGTGTTTACTATGTTAATGTGATTTTCTTATATCTGACTTCTACTTCACTAGTTCTTCAGTGTTTTATTTGCAATATTACTTATCCATTAAGTCTTTAATTTTAGCACTACATCTTTATTCTGTAGAAATTATATTTGTTGCTTTTCAACTTTTGTCTTTTTTTATAATGTCTTACACATTTAAAAAAAAATTTATTAGAATGGAAGATTTACAGAGATAAGGAGACACAGAGAAAGATTTTTTCATCCACTGGTTCTTTCCCCAAATGGCCGCAAATGGCTGGACCTGAACCCATCAGAGACTCCTCCGTCTGCTGGTCATTCTTCAGTTGGCTGTAACACCCAGGACTGGGCCAGTCTGAACCAGGAGCTGGGAGCTTCCTCTGAGTCTCCTAGGTCAGTGTCAGGCATCCAAAAGATTTGGGCCATTTTCCACTGTTTCCCCAGATACATTATGGCAGGAAGCTGGATTGACAATATAGCAGCTGGGACGCAGGATGCCAGCACTACAGGCTGCAATTTAACGTGCATCACAGCACTGGCCCATAAAGAGTGATTCTTTGGAGAGAGTAAGCCATATTGTGTCACATTAGTGTTAGGAAATTTCTAGTACCTTTTTTCCCCCTCAGGCATTATTAAAGCTCAAATCCCTGTCACACTACAAAGGACCTATAATGGCTTGAGTCCCCTTCCCTTACCATTTTTGAACTCATGTATTGTTCTTTGCCTTGGCTTACACTTTTGCAGTCATTGGTTTACTTACTGCTCTTTAAATATTCTGAGCATTGGTCCATATTAAAGTTTTTATATTTGCTGAAATGTTCTCCCTTACTTCTACCCAAATCTTTTAAAGTTGCTTTGAGAAGGGTTTTTCCTGATAATGATATGTCCCAATTTATTTCTTACATGTATCAATCTCCAATATACTATACATTTTAACTTGTTTATATATTGCTTATTTAAGCTGGACAGGATATTTTGGTTTTGTTATTTTCTTGATGTGAACATCAACATTTTACTTACAGTAAAATTAAATATTTGTTGAAATTAATTGCAATTCATTCCACCAAAATGAAATAAAAGTATAAACTTATTCATGGCAGTAGCTAAAACATTTTATTTCATGGAAAATGCAATGTAGGGCCTGGCACAATAGCCTAATGGCTAAATCCTCACCTTAGATCTGCCAGGATCCCATATAGTGCTGGTTCTTGTCTCAGCTGCTCCACTTCCCATCCAGCTCCCTACTTGTGGCCTGGGAAGGCAGTAGAGGATGGCCTTTGGATCCTGCCCTCTGTGGAAGACCTAGAAGAAGCTCATGGCTTCTGGCTTCATATCAGCTCAGCTCTGGCCATTGCGGTCACTTGGGAGGTGAACTAGTGGAGAGAGGATCTTTCTCTTTGTATCTCCTTTTCTCTGTATCTGCCTTTCTGATTATTAGATAAAAGAAAATGTGATGTAATTATTACAATTAAATATTACAAGGATTGGTACTGTGGTGTTGTGGGGTAAGCTGTTGCTTACAATGCCAGTGTCTTACATTAGAACACTGGTTCAAGCCCTAACTGGTCCACTGCTGGTCCAGCTCCTTAGTGTTTGGGTGCCTGCCACCCATGTGGGAGATCTGGAAGGAATTCTAGGTTTTTAACTATGGCCTGGCCTAACCTTGGCCTTTGTGGTCATTTGGAAAGTAAATCAGCAAATGGAAAATTTCTCTCTTCTCTGCTTCTCTCTCTGTAATTGCCTTTCGAATTGATATATATGTGTGTGTGTGTCTATGTTTATATATATACATATGTTTGCATATGCATATAATTTGTATGTGTGTGTTTATGTGTATATATACACATGTATTTGTGTATGCATATATATGTATATACGTATTTTAAAAATTGAAACATTTGAGAGGCAGAGATGAGTGCTCTTCCACTGGTTTACTCCCTAATGTGCTGCACTGGGGCTGGATCTGTTGCACTGGATCCAGGAACGTGAGCCAGGTCTGCCATATAGGTAGCAGAGACCCATCAACTTAGGCTCCAGCAGTGTGGTAAGAACTGGAAATCAAATCCAGGCACTGTGATGTGGGGCCCCAAATATCTTAACTGTTAAGATACATTTATATTCTGTCTAAATTTGTGTGAAATTTAACAGTCATAAGTAAAGCTTTAGAAAACAAGCACTCATACGTGGCTAGTTGGACTGTAACTTGGTCAGCTCCTCTAGAGAAGCCTATAAAAATGAACAAGTCTTAGGAATTCTACTTGTAATTTTATCTTGCTAAAATGAAGAACTAAATTAAAGACTGCATCAGCCTCTAAAAGTTAAAATGACTAGGTAAATTAAATTAATACATAGCGATTAAAAACTTATGTATTGATTTGTCATGAAAAGATTTTTTATTCTATGTTAAATAAAAATAGTTTACAAAACGATGCATTCATCCTTGTCACTTTCCACTGGTTCCTTTTTAAAACATAAATGTACAGAGAAAGAGCTGGATGAACTAAAGTATTTGTTTTGGCTGTTGTTTCTGGGTTATGAAATTATTTGTTTAAAACAGTTTGTATTTTTCTGTTCTTAAATAAGGCATCCATATGGAATAGTAAATGCCTAGATTACCACCCTTACCCACTAAGAAACTTCTGAGGGTCCAGAACTTTGTTGAATTCACTGCTGTATGCCAGGAACCTGGGCAGTAGTTAACATGATGCAGTAGTTGGTGCTCTAAACATGTGTTTTGGATAAATATATGGATATATTAATTTTATTATATGGATGAGGGTTATTGTAAGTAAAGTTTTGAAGAAAATCACTAAAAAGTAATTGACAATATCATATTTTATAGCTTGTAACCTTAATATCGAAGCAATTTATAGTAAAGCTTTTTAATGATTTTGTCTCTCACATATTTTCAAGGTTTCTAAATATTCTCTACAGAAGAAAATGAGTGAAATGGTAAGGAAATTACAAAATATGTGCTCTCTTTATCTGGGTTAATATATAATATAGATATTTAGTATTTTTTATATAAATGTAGCATAAAAAGAATAATTAAAACTGGGTGTTGTTATTGTCTTTAAAAACTGGCTTATAACTTCAGATACGATGTCTAATCAGTTATTTCACAAATACATTTCCAAATCACGTTGTGCTAATTTAGTGTAAAATAATTTTCATGTTTCATGAATTATTGATAAGATCTTATATTAAAAAGCTATAAAATGATAAAATGTTTAAAATGATGCTTTTATTAATTGTGTCCTAAAAAAATAAATTTCAAGAAGCCACATTTGGAGTATGATGTGTTCTTTAATACCTTTTTTTCCTGGATTCTTCTCTTATATTAAAATTCATGTCTGGCTTTGTATCTTAAAATTTAACTGTCTGCTTTGATATTGTTTGTTTCTGATATTGTTTCATTCAGAACAGAATTTTTCCCCTGTGTTTCTGATTGAGTAAAGCTCTGTATTCCTTTAAATCTTTAGAGGGTTTCCTGGATGTACTTACACTCTTACAGTTTTCCTTCTTTGCAGCTGGCTGTAAAGCTAGTAGGATTAAGTTTTGATTTTGACTTTTATATAATAAGTAAGAAACAAGAGATCACTCTTCATGACATTAAGCATAAAAAGTATTTTGGTTCTTGAAAGTATTTTGGCATTTTAGAAAAATGAAAGAATTGTACAAAGAATGCCAAGCTTGGTTGAGTAAAAGATGTGAAAATTCTGTTGCTGTTCAGCTGGAAAAGAATAAAGATAATGTTGTCAGACTATTTTAAACTGTGATTTTAATTGAGAAGCTGAAAAACTAGGTCTTGGTTTAGCTTTAAGTACCATGACATTTGTACTGAAAGTCATCTTTAACGCTACAGTGATTTTACACAAAATACAGTGAAATTGAATAATGTGCCCTTTGGCCTGGGAAATAAGGCTACAAGTTCAAAGGCAACATAGAGTGTGTTTTATTTTATTCTACTTGGGAATTTCATCAGATGAATACTTGTGATCTTAACAAAAGTGGAAATATAATATACTTAGTGGTTTTTTGAGTCACTTTTGAGCTTTTCATTACATGAATTACAACCACTTAACCTGCAAAACTGATTTTTTTTTTTTAAACAGTGTTACTTGAGTTTCAGTATTTTTGGACAGTTCAGGATGTTGGCATAATTTTATATATTGGCATATACATTTTTATATTGATATACTATTTTTGTATCCACTTTTGCAGGCTATTTGTATTTTTGATTTAAAAGTCAAAAATATGTTTTCTAAATTATCTTACCTTTATTCATTTTCCATTGTTATTCAGATTTCTTTCTGTATTCCAAGGATTACACAGCTTTCAGTAATTTATTTACTCTTATTATTCAAAGCATTGCATTATTCTTTTCTGTTACTTGACTCCATGAGCAAGACTAAAGGAAATTCTTAAAAATTAATCAGTTTCAGATTTCCAGGAATTCACTAAGCTAAATTTCTTGTAGAGGTATTGATAGGTGCCTCAGTAGATTGACATAATTATCAGAAAAATTTGTCACCTGCTAAACACCCAAATTATTACCAATAAAAATAATTCAATAAATCATGTTAAAGATGCTTTATTTTGGGCCCAGTGTGATAGCCTAGTGGCTGAAGTCCTTGCCTTGCACACACTGGGATCCCATGTAGGTGCTGCTTCATGTCTCAGCTGCTCCACTTCCCATCTAGCTCCCTGCTTGTGGTCTGGGAAAGCAGTGGAGGATGGCCCAGGGTCTTGGGACCCTGCATTCACATGGGAGACTTGGAGGAGGCTCCTGGCTCCTGGCTCCGGATCAGCACAGCACCAGCCATTGTGCTCATTTGGAGAGCGAATCAACAGACAGAAGTTCTTCCTCTCTGTCTCCCCTCCTCTCTGTATATCTGACTTTCCAATAAAAATAAAATAAAATAAAATAAAATAAATATAAAATAAATAAATAAATAAAATAAAATAAATAAAATAAATAAAATAAAATAAAAATAAAATAAATCTTTTTTGAAAAAAGAGATTTTACTTCAGATCATAATTTAATCATTACTGTGACTGGTCATTGATGAAAATCTCTCCTGTTGTATTCAGTGACTACTGCATAAATGCTTATGTTATGTAGTTGAATTTATAGTAGCTGTGTTATATAAATGAGTAGCTAAGACAGCTTAATGAAGAAAATAAAAACTCACCAAACCTTAAAAGTTGTATTTTATTTCTGTTTTTTATTTTTGCTTTTGGTATCATTACTTTTCTTTAAAGAATTTTTTTGTTTTTTTTTCAACAAAAGTTTCAGTATTGAGGATTTTGATATGGTTTGGAAGAAATATATATTTCCTTTCAAGCAGAGTGTTTTTTAGATTGAAGACTTGTCTAGAAATAGTTCTAAGATTTTTCTATATGTTTGTGTATGCATACACACACATTAGCTGTGTAACTTTATATAGCTGTCAAAGGTTGTGTTTTTTTAAAAAAGATTTAACAATAGATTGGCTACCAGAATGTTTTTTAATGATTTATTTATTTTTATTGTAAAGTCACATTTACAGAGTGAAGGATAGACAGAAAGATCTTTCATTTGCCGATTCACTCCCCAAGAAGCCACAATGGCTCGAGTTGAACCAGTCCAAAGCCAGGAGCTTCTTCCGGATCTCCATGCGGGTGCAGGGTCCCAGGACTCGGCTCTGCTTGATTGCTTTCCCCGGCCACAAGCAGGGAGCTGGATGGGAAGTGGGGCAGCTGGGATATGAACAAATGAGCGCCTACACGGAATCCTGGGGTGCAAGGTGAGGACCTTAGCCACTAGGATACCATGCTGCGCCCTGTTTTTTAAGATTTTTTTTTTTTTATTGCAAAGGCAGACTTAGAAAGATCTTTCATCCAGTGGTGCATTTCTATATGGTCACCACGGTTGGAGTTGGGCAGGTCCAAAGCTGGGAGCCAAGATTTTCTTCTGGTTCTACAAGGACCTGAGGCGATTTCCACTGCCTTCTCAGCCATGAATAGGCAGCTGGATAGAAGTAGAGTGGCTGGGACTTCAACCAATGCCATATGCTATGCCGCGGCCTTGGCCCCAGTTTTCTGTTTTTTAAAACAATCTTGAACTATATTGTTTATGTTGAATTTGTTAGTTATTTTCATTTTATTAGAAGAAGGGAGATAGATATGGTGATAGATCTTCCATGTATTATTTCACTGCCTGAATACTTAAAATTATTAGATCTGGACCAGCCTGAAGCCAGAAGCCTGGGATTCAACCCTGGGTTTCCTGCATGAAGGTGGGGTTCCCAGTACTTGAATCACACCTCCTGCTTCTCATGTGGGTATTAGCTGCAAGGTGGCTGAGAGGAGGAGCCAAGACTCAAACCGAGCATGATAGGAAGTGAGTTATCCATGCAGCATCTTAATTGATATTCAAGTGCTTGCCACATAACTTTGATTCTTTTCGGTGGTTTATACCTATTCTTTTTCCTTACTAAATAGGTAAAGATCTTATGAAAGATGCCATTGATTTTAAAAAATTTCAGTTTTGTAGCTGTATTCAATTTTGACTCACATTGAAAATATTAAAATGTAAATTGCAAAATTGTAAATATTTTTTCTTTTGAATTTTGATCTTTTCCCCTGTAATTTATTCATAGTCTAATCATTTTAAAGAGAAATTTTATTTCTAAAGGTGTTCAAAGTAGTCTCCTGAAATAAAAATGATAATAGGGAAATATGCACTTATGACTTTTGTTAGTAAATATATTTCTAGGCAGTTGTGTATAAATATTATTCTAAAATTATTTCCTTTCTGTATGAAGTGTAACCTAAGGCTGTATGCACACACACAGCATTATTTGTGCACTTTTTTACTTCTAATCTTTGTTTTCATAGACTACATTGCTTCAAAATGAGGTATACATGTATTTAGAAGCAGTAAATCTTGGCATTATTTTCCTGTTAAGTCCTCGCATTAAGTAGTAAACTTGTGCAAAAGAAAAAAATATGAGTCACTCCATAGGGATGAAAAGAGTAATGTTTAATTGGCATAACCATATTGTCTCCTCAAACATTTACTGATGATTCACTCCCAGATGGCTACAGTGGTCATAACTGAGCTGATTAATTATGATTAATTTCCTCAACAAATATTTAATATAGGTAAAACATTATACATATTGAGACAAAAATGGAACTAAAACATCCCACCCAGCTTAACTTCTTAGGAAGATAACAAGCACTATAAACAAGTTAAAATACATAGCATATTAGATACCAATACATGCTAAGAACAAGTTGGAACAGTGGAGCTGAGCTAATTTGAAGCTAGGAGCTTCTTCAAGGTCTCCCATGTTGGTGCAGGTGTCTAAGGCCTTGGGTCATCTATTGCTTTCAAAGGTCATACTGGACAGGACTGGACAGGAAGTGAACTGCCACAACACAAAAAGGCAGCCATTTGAATTGCCAGTAAATTGTAGTGATACTTGATGAGTGAAATGTATTGTGGTTAGGAGAAATCAAATTGATTTCCACTGTTGGAGCACCATGAGTAATAATGATTGATTTAGAAAACAATATTAAGTGCCAGTTGAGGGATCTGCACTGTTCTTTGTTTAGTCTTGGTCATTATGGGAGCCGAAGCAGCTGAAAAAAATTGTGAATCAGTAACTCTGCTAATGTCAAGTGCGGTTAAAACATTTAAAATAATGTTAAAATTATTAGTGTTAATGATAAAAGTATTATGGACCCTATTAAATTTCTTTTTAGCATTAAAGTTATATTGCTCAGTGTAGCAAAAGTAGCTCCTGAGGCTACAAGCTTTGGAGGCTCATTGTATTACAGGTGTTCTAGTTAAGTAGATTTTCCATTATATTGTATTGTATTGTATTGTATCTCTGTGACTGTAAGATATGTGCCTTGGGATTTACATTTTAATCCAGTGAATAGGAACTATGTTCATTAAAATTAATTTCAGAAAAATTACCTATAGGTTAATGAGGCATGTAAAAATTATGCTAATAAAATAAAAGGGCAAAGAATCAAAACAGTATCTAGTTGGGTCCCACTTAACAGATAATTTACAAAAACAGAAAGCTATTTCCTAAAATATTTAAACTATTACTTTACTTTCCCTCACACTTTGCAGTATAGTATTTCTATAGTGCTAGACTGATTGAATTTTTTTTATAAATCAGGCAAATTTATTTTTTTTTTTTTTAGTTTTTTTAAAGATTTATTTTTATTACAAAGCCAGATATACAGAGAGGAGGAGAGACAGAGAGGAAGATTTACTCCCCAGGTTAGCGCAATGGTCGGTGCTGCACCAATCTGGAGCCAGGAGCCAGTAACTTCCTCCCGGTCTCCCACATGGGTGCAGGGTCCCAAAGCATTGGGCTGTCCTTGACTGCTTTCCCAGGTCACAAGCAGGGAGCTAGATGGGAAGTGGAGCTGCCGGGACTAGAACTGACACCCATATGGGATCCTGGTGCATGCCAGGCAAGGACTTTATCTGCCAGGCCATGCCGCTAGGCCCGCAAGTTAATTTTTGAAAAAGATACTATAAACAATGGAAACAGAATCTAAAGTGACTGTTTTGTTACTTGCAAAAGGTATTCTCAGAGAATACTTTTGTTGACATTTATTTATGATAAATTATTAGTAACAGTTTACCACAGAATATATTGTATGTGCATATGCTACATGTGTAAGATTTAAAATTTATCTCTATAACAGGAACAAAAAGTCCAGTTACATCTTCTGGCTAAAGAAGATTATCATAAACAACTGAATGAAATTGAGAAATACTATACTACAATAACTGGTCAATTTGGATTGGTGAAAGAAAATCATGACAAGTTGGAACAAAATGGTAAGTTCTATCTTATATAAATGTTCAGTAAGGAATGTTTAGGTGGACTTATTATAATCAAGTTTATCTGATGCAAGTATAGATGAATGACAATTTAATGGATACTAAATTAAGTGTAACCATATACATTTCATTGGCACTTTTTCCCTGTCCATATTAGTGATACTTACTTTGATATGTATAATTAATGTAATGTTTTCTTAAGTGTCTTTCATATTGCAGTGCAGGAAGCAATACAAGTAAATAAAAGACTTTCAACTTTAAATAAAAAACAAGAGTCTGAAATATGCAGTTTAAAGAAGGTATGATTGATATAATTTTATACTGTTAAGTAAAGTTTATAGTCAAATAGTTTTATGAATTATTACTAGAAATAATTGGCTACTTTTTTGGTAGAAGGATAAACAAATGTTTAACACAGATTTATAAATTTTGAGTTATTAATATAATGAATCAGTTTATTAAAATTATAAATTAAAAAGATTTCAGGGGCAACTGCCGCTCCCTGCAGTGTGGCAGCTGTTGGGGGTGCCCCTGCTGGGTAGGACCCAATGCTGGGAACTCGCGCCAAAGACACTGCTGCAAGGCAGTGAATGAGTCCTCGGCCTTGGGTGGCCAGCAGGCAAAGCCTGGCACCACTTGGTGCACTGGCCAGCCGGCGGCGAACTCTGGGGTTTTTAAGATATGTAGTTGCTGCCTGGGGACACCCATGACTAAGGCCAGTTTTAGTATAGGTGAGAAGTGAATTTTGGATGATTCCCAGTGACAGGGTGATGAAAGTGTCAGGCATGCATGGGGACTGAGACCTGGTGGTTTGGAGGGAAGTATCCAGAAGATAATTTGGGTTAGACAGATTCACCAGACGAATTAGGAATCCAGAGATGGGCTGTTAGCATAGAACATCACTGATTGCCACACACCAGCCCACACCAAAGCTATGGATTGGGGCCTCTTTGGCAGGGTTAGGTATCATTGCCCGACTGGGTGGTGGAGTGGTGGAGTGGTGGAGTGGTCACATTTGGCAGGGTCAAGACACTATCCAGCACGCGAGAGAACTTGGTCTGGGGGTAGACTCTGTGGGGTTTTGTGGGCTCAACCCTGTGGTAATACAAGTCCCCCTGGTTAGCTCGCAAGCTGGGGTTGTGATGGACTAAGCTAGGTGTGACCATGGCACCTGCCATCACTCACAGGTAAAGGAACCCATAATAGTCAGGGCAGGTCAAGGCAGCAGCACCTGAATGTGCATCCTAAAACAGGATGTGGGGTGGATCAGGCTGCCACTGGAAGGGGGCAGAATGGGCAGGGCTGAACAAACCTTAACTCACAAGAAACAACAGAAATCAGGTTGGAGCACAGGTCATGCCAAGTAGGCCCTTGTACCTACTGATTTGCATGAGACAGGGACGCTAAGCCATAGCATCTAAGGGGCCAGGACAAGTGAGGGGCTCTGCCAAACTGAGTCAGAGCAACCACTGGCCTGCACATAATCTAAGGCTGGGAATAGGCCTGGATGGGGAGCTAAGGGGACACCCTAGCTGGATTGAGTTTCCCACCAAGGAGCACATGGGCTGGAATGGGGGCTGCGTTCTGATCAGGATACAATTGTAATCTCATTTGGCACAAGTGTGGACTGGGACTGGAAGCACCAAACTGGGCCAAACTCCAACACCATTTGGTGCTCTGTAGGACCAGGGGAGATGTGTGACTGACTAGGCTAGGTCTCAGCCCTTACTGAACCATGTGTGAGCTGTATGGGGGTATGGACAAGCCATGGCTGTGTTGAAACATCCAACAGTAAGAACCAGATTGGGTTGAAGGCCAGTCAGGAAAAGCCACTGTTCCTGCTAGGACAGGAGGTGAACTGAGTGGGGCTGGCTCATGGACCCACTGGTATTCGCGAAATCTGGCACTGGGAGAGTGTCTGATGGAGGAGCCTGGACAACTTCTCTGGCAGGACACAGTCCCTGCAGGTAAGCACAAGAAGCACAATAGGAAACAGCCCAGAACAGGCAACGGAAATTATCCCACTGGCATACACATGGCATGGTTTGGGGGCAGACCAGGCTGAACCTGTTCACATCACCTGCTGGTGAATCCGAGCACCAGAACAAAGTGTGGGTCGAGCCAGGTTCGGTTGCGACACATACCAGTGCACATTAAGGAATGCCAAGGTGAGATGAGCTGTACCAGATGTGGTTGCAATGCCCAAACAGCACATGTGATAATCAGGGGGAGGAGGCAAAGCCGGCAGGGGGAATGTGGGCTCCCCTGCTGGACAACTACTTCCATTGGAAAGTGTGAGTCGGGATGGGGGCAGATCAGACTAGGCAGGGCTACAACACCCGTGGGCCTCATGTGAGCTAGATAAAGGAAGTTGCCACGGTGGACTGACTATTCCAACTGGTGCAAGCAAAAATTAGTGGGTGAGAGTTGTTTGGGCTTAGCTGTAGCATTAGTTGGCAGAGGCTGGCACTGGGAGCTAATTTTGTCAAGTCAAACCTCAGAACCACCTGGAGAGGGCATGACCTGGGAGGGGGTGTGACCTAGAAAGGAAATAGTGGGCACCTCCCTCGGGGTTACCACTCTCACTGGACAGCATGAAAACTAGGACGGGGCAAGGGTCGCTAGACAGAAAGGCACCTGCCAGTAGGTGTGTGGGCTGGATAGTAGGTTGGTTGGGTTGAACTAGGCTTCAATGCCCATTGACAAGTGGTGAGAACTAAATGGGATGTGGGACATACTGGACAAGCCTACAGTACATACTGGCAAGCATGGGAACCAGGATAGGGGGCAGAACTGGTGGAGGTTATGGGGAGTGGCCCCAACTAGGCTGCAGCTCCAATTGGTTTATGTGAGGACCAAGTATGAAGTGGGTAGGATTGAGCTGGACTACAACACCTGTTGGTTTATGAGGAAGATGGGGCTGGAAACAGAACGGGCCCAGCAGTCACAACGACCAGCATGTGCGCAAGCTGATTGGTGTGACGGATGGTTACAGTTTTGTTCATGTAACTTCACTGTTGTGCATATAGATTTTAACTTTAAATGTGCAATAAGGTTTATTTTACTCTTCTTTGGTTGTGACATCAACAAACTTAAAATGAGCAAGTGAGGTATTAACATGAAGATCAGTCCAGTGATTCTAGTCACAGTGCATTCCAGAAGGTCTTTGTGTCACTAGAGTTGGTGATTCTAGGGGATTGAATAGCCCATACAATAGGAGAATTGTGACTCTGATAACCATTCCTTTAGCATATTCCTGGGCAAAAAGTGTCACATTGGAACAGATGAGAGTATCAGTTCTGAAAACTGGTATGCAGGACTTAGGTTTGCCTGACCCTGAGTTGAGTTTCACTTCCATTTCTGTAGTTACTTCTTTGTTACAAAGAAGAAGATCCTGAATTGTAATCAGAGTTAGCCTTATCAAAGACCCTGGTGAGTTTGAAAGCTGGTGACAATTTAAGCATTGTTTTTCTCTTTCTTACCAACAGCATCCTTCACATGGGTCCTCTCAAACAGTGAGCTCTTTTGGCAAGTCTAGATCTTTGTGCAAGATACAGTATTTCTCACAGATTTGAGGACATTGGAATCAGTTGTCTGAAACCTACTGACATGAATGCCTTTGTAGGTCTGTCTCTGGTGCATTTTCCAAATTCCAGAGTTTTTATATTTTTCTTGAAATATTGAAGTCAGTTTCTTAGTACTGTCAGCAACTTCTTTTGTAATGCTGTTATGTTTTTAAACTAGCCCCCACTGATGCTGTTCTGCTGTTGTAAGGTTGTAGAGTCAGTGGCACTGACCACGGCGGGTCAGGGACCACAGCACCTTTCTGGGTCTAGGCTGTGACAAGGAAGCATAGTGAGTGACCTCATTCAGCTTGCACAGCTCCTGCCTTAGGAAATGGGGGTGGTGCTGGGAAGACAGGTTAGAGGGTGAAAAGCAGGTTTGTGCAGATATAGTAATGTATTTTTTATTTCAAATTCTATTTCTATATAGGAAAACATATTAGTCTATGTCCTACAACCTTGCTCTAATTGCTTATTAATTGCAAGAGATAGGTTTGTTTGCTTTTGTTAACTTCAGATTTTCTACACAGGTAATCATGCCATCCATGAGTGGTTCTTTTTTATAATCCTCCCCAATTTGTGTATTATTTATTTATTTATTTGTTTATTTATTTTGTCTTACTGAATAGCTAAGACTCCCAGTAGGGAGTTGAATTAATGAGAGCAAATGTCTTTCCCTTGGTCCTGATCTCAGTGGAGCTTCTAGTTTCTCACCACTAAGTAGAACCCAGAACTCTATCTCAATAATCTCCCATAGGTGTGCAGAGGCCCAGGAATCTGAGGGCATATTACAGCTTTCTCAGGCACGATAAGGAACTGGATCAGAAATGGAGCAGCCAGACTTCACCCGGTACCGACATGGGATACCAACATTAAGGCATTATGGCAGTGGCTAAACCAGCTGCACCACAAAGCTAGCCCCTACAAGTTACTTTAAAAAAAAGAATTATGCTGGTCTTAGAAGCATGGCCTAGCAGCTAAAGTCCTCATCTTGAACACGCCCGGAATCCCATATGGGCACCGGTTGTAATCCTGGCAGCTCCACTTCCCATCCAGCTCCCTGCTTGACACCTGGGAAAGCAGTCAATGACGGCCCAAAGCTTTGGGACCCTGTACCCACGTGGGAGACCTGGAAGAAGTTCCTGGATCCTGGCTTCTGATCAGCATAGCATCAGCTGTTGTGCTCTCACTTGGGGAGGGAATCATCGGACGGAAGATCTTCCTCTCTGTCTTTTCTCCTCTCTGTATATCTGACTTTGTAATAAATAAATAAAGCTGTAAAAAAAATTATGCTTCAAAAGCATGAAATAGGGGCAGAAAGGGGGCTTTCATCTTCTCAGTGACTCCCTGCATTTCCCTTTTTTTAACATGAGAAGGAAAAGTTATACTTCAAAATAGGTTTGGAATCCCAAATCAAAAAATTTTTCAAACAAATTTTTTATCAATGTAAACTTCAGATGGAAATATAAATGATTAAATATTAATTCAGGAATTATGAAAAAACATTTCAGTGATGTGCCTTTGGGTTCATTTTTTAATTTTGTATTTTATCAGTGACATAAATAATATCAAGTTAGTTTGGTGATTCAATTTAAATATTAGCCTTTTATTTAAGTAGCATCTATTTTATGGGAAGATCATACTTTATCGATTTCCATACTAAACTCTTTACATTAATAATTAATGTTTCATTGTAACATTATGAACTTTTATATTCCTAATATATCATTTAAGGCTTTGTCTTATAGATTAGATGAGGCTTATGTAAATTTAAATTCATGGAGAGATACCTGTGGCAGATTTATGTTAGGAGGTGAAAAATGTCTATTCTGTGTTGCTCATAAAACACTTCTTTTTCCTTAAGTATGTTGATATGTCTTGTGTTCATGGCCTCTGCCACCCAAAATGTTATTGTCTGTGTCCATGATACCAAATTGTTCTTGGTAAAGAGTATATGGAAGAAGTGGAAGAGTTCATTACCGTTGAGACTTCAAAGTTTGACAGAAAGGGTAAAAAATTTAAAATGTATTTTAGGAGACAAATTTTAGCTTCTTACAGATTCTGAGAATACTAATTTTTTATTTTATATGCTTTATTTGGCTTGAATTTTTATTTTAAGAACAATTTAATTTTTGAATTTTTCAGACATTAATCAAATCTAGTGACATGTAGTTATATCACTCATTTAAAACTTACAGTCATTAATTTTCCCAAAGATAATTTTCATTTTCTTTTATACTATTCTGTGAGTTTGTCCTTCCTTTCCTTCTTTTTTTCTTCCCTTCCTTCCTTCCTTTTCCTCTTTCTTTCTCTTCTTTCCTCCCTCCTTCCTTTTGTTCTTTTATTTTTTTTTTAAGCAAAGTTAAGCAGACATAATTTTGTTGCTAGATAAAACTAGGTATTGCAGTTCTGCATGCTGGGTTCATCGTTATGGCAGTCATGAAGAACTCCTGATAGTATCTGTGAGCTGCATTCATAACCTCTGCTATTTGTCTGAGTAAACGTCCGAGCATTCAAGCAGATAGTGATATTGAACAGACTACCCCATGCCCGAAAAGGAGGGGTAGAGGAGACAGCAGTGTTGTATTTATGACTCTAGGAACTATAAGTTGTAATTTATTGAGATCAAAGCATGTGCTGTTTATTTGCTGCACTCACAGCTTTAAATAAAATGGCTGAAAAACAGACAGTGTACTAACAGTTTAGGTTACTTAAAAGCTTATAAGGCTATAAAAATAACAAGCATATTTTTCAGTGGAAATCATTTCTTGGAGTTCTTTGATTTTAATTTGTTACTCACTTAAGATAAAGTAATTAACATATAAGAAGAAAAGATGTAAGAAATAATTAGTTTTTGCTTTTGTCAGCCTTATACTGGTTTTCTATCCCTACTCTTAGTTCTCTTTGTTTCATAACAATTATTGTAAAAGGAAATGTGCTTTAGGTTGTCTCCTACAAGGAGTTGATTCCAACAGCTCAACAATTTAACAGTCCAGTTAAAAATGGGCAAAGGACATGAACAGCATTTTTCAAAGAACGAATCACAGATGACCAATAGACACATGAAAAAAATATTCAGGATCAGTATCCATCAGGGAAATGGGAAAAAAAAAAACCACAATGAAATTTCACCACATGCAGTTAGAGTGGCTATCATTAGAAAATCAGTAACTATTGATGAAGATGTGAGGGGAAAGGTACCCTGATCCACTGCTGGTAGAAATATAAGCTGTTTTAGCCACTATGGAAGACAACATGGAGATTCCTCAGAAATCTGAAAACAGACATGCCATGTGTCCCAGGCTTTCCATTCTTGGGAATTTATCCAAATGAAATGAAATCAGCATATGAAAGTTATTTGTGCCTCCGTGTTTATTGCAGCTTAAATCACAATAGCTAAGATATGGAATCAACCCAGATGTCCAGCTGATGATAAATGTGATATATATGCACGATAGAATACTACTCAGCTACAAAAAAAGAATAATCCCTGTCTTTTGTAAGAAAATTGATAACAACTGGAAACTATTATGTTTAGTGAAATAAGCCAGTTACAAAAACCCCAAATATTATATGCTTTCTTTGATATGTGACAGTTAATATACGGCAAACTGCCATTTTCAACCCTTGTTTATATTTCCATGTGGTCACCCTATTTTTATCTTGTTTAATATTATGGTTAGTGATATATCAAGCCTGTAATTTTAGAGTGAACTAAAATTATGTCTTTGCAAAATAATGAAGGGATGAAAAGAAGAGATAGAAGGGAATTGGGTTTGTGGGAAAGGGAAGTGGGGTTGGCTTCTGAGAACTGGACTTGTAGAATTCATGAAATTTTTTTAACAAAAAGCCAATAATTCCAATAATAAATAAATAAAAGCAAGGCCAGGCCTAATTGAGCCGGGAACTCAACCCAGTCTGTGTTAGTAGCAGGAAGGTAGGAACTTGAGCTATCACCTGCTGCCTCCCAGGGTTACAGGAAATGGATCTGAGCAGAGCTGGGACTGAAGCCTAAGCATTCCAGTAAGAGACACAAATGTTCCTAGAACATTTTAACTGAGAAAAGCCTTCTTGATGCCCTTCATCAAAGGATTTTCTTTATGCTTCTGATACATTCCTGTAATATTCAGATAATATTAATTGCATTATAATTATTTCATACATAAGTTTTTCTTACTAGATGCTAATGCATGTGGGAAGTGAGAATCTTTTGTTGTCATCTCAGAAGATGTTTGTTGAGTAAGTATTGAGTGAAAGTACATCCTAGCTCTGATTGGTTAGTTCTTTTGGTTACTGCACTCTTTAAGATCTAGAGCCATACACACTATCACTATGCTATTGACTTTGTCTGTCTATAGCCACAGATTGAATACTCACATTCACTAATCCTGCAAGAGAACTAGAAAAAGGCTTTGGTGGACAAATGTTATCATCTTGATATATGAAATACAGCAAATTATAGTTATAGATTTAAAGTTGGAATTTTAAACTGTCAGAACATTACCTTCCTATGAATGAATATGCATGCTAAGTTTTCTGATTGATGTTTTTATGTTAAGGAACTTAAAAGAGTATCCTCAGACTTGATAAAATCCAAGGTCACATGTCAGTATAAGATGGGAGAAGAAAACATCAGTCTAACAAGCAAAGAACAAAAATTTGAAGAACTTGAAGAAAGATTGAGAATGGTATTAGATTAAGTATTTTTAAGTTTATAAAAATGTTTCAGTAGAATGAAAGCTTCAGTATCATAACACAAAATGTTCTTTTTAAAGTTAATATAATCAAGCTAGAAAAATCTCTCTTAAATCAAATAATTTTGGCACTTGCATGTCATTAGGACAATAACATTTACAGCCATTTTACTTCTACTAACAGGTAATGTTATAACTGTATTCAGAATAGCTCTGGAGATGAGAAATGCGTAGTTTTTACCATTAAAAAGTTTATAACAGCTTATATTAGGTGTCTACTAACTTCTTCAATTCATGGGAGTCACTCTTTCAACATCCCAAAAGTGTGTGTACTCTGATGAATAGGACTTGATACTCCCAAGCTTACTGATCCCTGAATTTAATGTTGAGATTGCAAGAATTTAAATAACACCTTTAAAATTATTCAAACTTTTAAAGGAGTTAGAATTAAATAAGAAGATTACTGAAGAGATTACCTACATTCAAGAAGAAAAGCAGGTAAGCAATCATATTTATGAAGAATGTAAGACTTTTTAAAAATTACAGAGTGAGAAATAATCCAGTTATAGAATCAATGGAATTATGCCTAGGTGAGTGCGTAGTATATAATAAGCTCTCAGCTAATGTGGTTCATTGAATGGTACATTCACACCTTTTTAACCAGTCTCAAAAGTGCTCACCTTCAGGTGTAAATCCGTTTCTTTCTCCTGTTACTTTAAACCAATGATATCTAGCAGATAAGCAATGGAATGCATACTTAATTCATGCTTTTTCAGACATTATACTTCCATTTGAATCTCTTTGTTATTTATAATTCTTGTATTTAAAAAATATAAAACACCCACTTGTTTCAATTTTTTCTTTTGGTTTTTGACTGTTTGATTCTGAATGAATTCTGTGACATTGCCAAGGGTAGGAATCATCCAGCTAGTGGGATGCATTAGGCCTGCAAATCTTTTATGTCAGGTCCTTCCAAGGCAGCCAGCCACACATGGGACTAGAAATTCGATAAGTTTATAGCAGACTAATTTTTAAGTTGATGATTTTGTATGGCTCATGAATGATGTTATATCCAAATGGCATTTGACAGGAAAAGATTCATCACCCCTATGCCCATTATGGCATTTTATAATACTTATAATTTATAATATTATAGCTAATATAAAGTTTTAGGAGAGACACATTTATTATGTAGGTAGTTGATCTAACAAAAGTTTTAGTTTTGAATTCACATTTTTTTTTCAGTAATGTGTTTGAATCCATGTTCTATTTCACTTGATCTTAGCCAAAAGGCCGAGAAGCGATGAATACATGGTTTATTCCAAGTAATTGTTGATTAGTTGAGGGGCATTTTGAAGTAGTACTTCATAGAAAATCATGTAATAGAAATTATTTTAGATAATTAAATTATAAAGTACACCATTAGTTTAAGGTATTGAAATTAAAATATAAATATAATGGATTAAGAAGCTAGAAAAGGTGTTTGGAGAATGATTGATACATTCTACTATCTTAAAATTTTAAGGTTGATACATTTTTATATTTTTGAAGGGTATCATCATTTCTTTTCAACATATGCAGCAGTTACTTCAGCAACGAACTCAAGCCAATACTGAAATGGAAGCAGAATTGAAGAGGCTAAAGGAAAATAATCAGGTTGTATAACCATTTATCTATGGTTCATTTTCATTTAGTGAGCTATTTAGTTGCATCAGTTTTATGATGATCATTTTGAATTTTTGAGTCAGACATTGATTTCCTTCTTCAATTTGATATCAATATCTATAGGAGTGAAATTTTTTTCAACATCTAATTCATTAATTGTTACAGAAATATCTGGCCTAGTTTTATAGCAGAACAGATGGTATTCTTCTTTGTCTTAAAATTGTAACCAGGGTCTAAAACTAAAAAGGTGAAGGATGAGCATTGTAGTACCATAAGTTGAGCTTACAGTTTGCATCCTGTGAGCATTTGGTTCAAGTCTTGGCTGCTCTGCTTCCCATTCAGCTTCTTGCTAATGTACCTGAGGCCAACAAGGTACCATGGGGACAGTGGTTGACAAGAAGGGGAACTTGGGAGTTGTGATGCATCTTTCTATGTCATTAAATAGAAAATAAATAACATGAAAGATTGAAAGAGAGGCTACAAAGAACAGCAAAAAGTTTTATATTCGTCTTTCTCTCTTTCCTTTCCTGTCACTTACTTTCCCTTCCCTTCCTGTCTCTCCCCTTTCCCCTTCCCTTTTCTCTTTCTCTTTCCTTTTGCTCTTCCCTCCCTCCCTCTCTCCCTCCCTCTCTCCCTTCTCCCTCCCTTCCTTCTATCCTTTCTTCCTTCTTTCCTGCCTGCCTTCTTCCTTCCTTCTTTCCTTCCTTGTCTTTTCTCCATATCTCTTTTCCTCCTTCCCTCCCTCCCTCCTCCCTTCCCTTCCCTTTCTTTCCTTCCTTCCCTTTCTTTCCTTCCTTCCCTTTCTTTTCCTTTCTTCCCTTTCTTTTCCTTTTTTCCTTTCTTTCCTTCCTTCCCTTCCCTTTCTTTCCCTTTCCTTTCTTTCCTTCCTTCTTCCTGCCTTCCCCCATTCCCTTTCTCCTTGTTTGAGGCAGAAAGAGAAATAGGAAGATGGACAGTTGAAGAGAGTTGGTCTGTCCACAGGCTCATGCTCCAAATGTCACAGCAATCAGACCTGGATCAGGTTGAACTCTGGAGCTGGGAACTCCATCTGGTTGTCCTGCATGGGTAGCCCGAACCAAGGCATTTGAGCCATCAGCTGCTGTCTCTAGTCAACACAGGAAGCTGGATTGGAAGTGGAATAGTCATGATACAACCAAGCTCTGATATGGGATACGGGTGTCCTAAGTGCATGCCCCTCCCTCCTTTTTCATTTTGCACCAAGCCTCACAAAGTATGTAAATTGATTATCATTGAATAGAACAAAATTTAACAATGGCAGGTGTATCTCCTTATCTTTGATGTTCTGTGGCTTGCTATGTAAAAAAGGGTTTTGCTTTCCTTATTTTTCTTGCCTTCCCCCAAACTTTAAGAGACCAGAAGAGGGAGAGAAAGAGTGGTGTTGTCCAGCCTCCCTTTAATCATTTTAACTGTTCAAGCAGAATACTAATTAAAATAATTCTTTCAAAGGCCTATTAAAAACAACAGTCTTTCTCATCTGCATCCACCCTTTACTTGAATAACAAGGACTTTTTCTCTAATATATTGGAACTTCTTCCAAGGAATGTACATCATTTTCCTGAATTCTTTATGAGTAACTGTTATAAATGGCATGTCATAATATATGTAAAGGAGTTTAAACAAAGGGCTGAAGACTAGCTAAATCGATCATTTCAATTCATAATGAAATATAGACCCAGAAAATGTAAGCCGTGTAGTTCCAGGCCTCATGATTAGTAACAAAACCAGGATTAAATCTTTGTCTTGATTCTGATCACCACTATTTCTACAACATTATACAGTTGAGATGTCTCCCAATTTTGTTAGAAAAGGTCTTCCAATTTTGTTAGATCAGTAATGTTGAAACCACAACTTTTCTTTAAGAATGTTATGTATACTAGGCTTTATGTGTGTTTTTAAGATTAAAGGCAGAGTAACAAAGTGGGGTCAGGGAAGGAGGGAGAGAGAGAGAGAAAGAGAGAGATCTTCCATCTGTTGGTTCATTGCCCAAATGATTGCAGTGGGCAGGGCTGGACCAGGCCAGAATCAGGATCTAGAGCCAGGAGCTTCATCTGGGTCTCCCTAATGAGTGCAGGAGCCCAAGCACTTTTTGCTCTCTTTTACTGCTTTTGCAGGCACATTAGCAGGGAACTGGATCAGAAGTAGAGCATCTGGGACTCAGATTGGAGCCTATATGGTTGCCTGTGTGAGATAACATCGGCTCCAAAACCACAACCTGTTCTTTTTAAGCAACTCTTTTAAAAATATATATATGTGTATTTTTAAAAGGACTTATTTATTTTTATTGGAAAGGCTGGTTTACAGAGAGGAGGGAATAGAAAAGGAGAGGAAAATCTTCTGCCTGCTGATTCACTCCCCAAGTGGGTAAAACAACTGGAGCTGAGCTGATCAGAAGCCAGGAGCCTAGAGCTTCTGGATCTCCCATGCGTGCAGGGTCCCAAGGCTTTGGCCCATCCTCTACTGCTTTCCCAGGCCACAAGCAGGGAAAGCTGGAAGGGAAATGGAGTATCTGGGACACGAACCAGTGCCTATATGATATCCCAGTGCTTCCAAGGCAAGGATTTAGGCACTGAGCCATCGTTCTGGGACCCACAGCTCTTCAACTTGCTCTTTTTAAGTTCTGTCTAAACTTAGGCATTGTTAAGTCTACACAGCACTCAGTAGTCATAGATACACAGTTAAGTGTTTTTTTGTGGCTGTATAACCTTTTAACTGTGAGTGTGAAACCTAAAATAATCCAAATGCCTTTCTATTTAGTTGTTCCTATTTAGTTGCTGCAATTATTATCTGGGACTTAGTAGTATGTGGAAATCTCATAATAGTAAAATTTAAAAGAATTGTTAGGAACAGGATAGAAATTTTAGCTTTTTATCTTGGTAAGTAAGGACACTAAAAAATAACTTCATCTATCATCACTAGCCTTTTATGAAAGAACATTTTAACATCAAAAATGTTTTAAGGACATAATCTCAAGCCAAAGGACAGGTCTTCATACAAAAAGACATTTGATGACCTTATATTGACATTTTTTGCCATGGACTAGTGAAAATTTTGTCATGGATCACTGCTTGTCTGCAGATTGGTGTCTGTGAACCAATGATATATAGCATAACAAAATATTCATGTTGAATTGTTGCTAAGGACTGTGCTGTATAGAAATCTCAAGTGTTTTCTAGAGGAGCATTTTAATTCCACCTGTACTAAAAGGGATCATTACTCTTGATAATGGCCAACTGTTTTTCAGTGCTCTGCTATCATGCTGTCATCTGTCTTACTTTTTCTTCATAGTAAATTTTACAACATGGAGATCTACATTCTCAGTATAAAAAATATTTCCTACTCAGCTAATCCTGTTAAAGGCAGTTGTGTTCCTGTAATCATAGTATTAAAAAGAGCAATGTACTTAGTTTGCGTCTATAAGCATGGTGTTAATCTGGCACATAGTTGGAACTCATGAAAATTGTTGAATAAATGATGAACAATGACTAAGCTTGCTTGCTTCCAAAGTTAGGTATTTCCCTGTGCTTCTGTTGAAACATGTCAAATTGAATCCATACTCATTTCTTCTTTCTTTGGAAACTGCAATGAAATAACCTTAATAACTTTATAAGGATAAAGAAGCGAGTTTAGGAAATCGTTCTCCCTTCTCCGACCTTTTAAAATTATTTTCTTCTTCATGTGGGCACCAGAGCTGGGCTTTCAGTAGTTAAGATACAGATAAAGACAGCTGTGTCTCACATTGAAAAATCTGGGTTTGGTACCCAGTAATGTCTCCTCACTCTAGCTTCCTGCAAGTGTAGACCCTAGGAGGTATTAGTGATGACTCAAGTCATTGGGTTCCTGGCGTCCACATGGAGAACCTTGATTGAGTTCCTAGCTGCAGACTGCATTCAGCCCAGTGGCAGCCACTTTAGGCATGTGAAGAGACTATCCCTGGATAGCAGCATTTACATACTAGCTCTATTTCTCTCTCTCTCTCTCTCTCCCTCCCCCCCTCCCTCCCTCACTCACTCAAATAAGTGCACATGAGAACCAGATGGAGAATTGGCAATTTACTTAGCATATGAATAGTAGGAACCTACCCCAAAGATGTAAAGTGGTCAGAATGCAGTTGTCATGTGCCTCTGGAATGGTGAGTTGCAATTGAGCATTTCACCTCCAGATTTCCCCCTCATTTTGCAAAAATAGGCACCACTCCTCTCTTCACAGATTTTTGTGGGAGATTTTGAAATACAGTTGAGATTGGGAGCATACAATGATATGCTGGAGCCAGCCTGTGTCAGTGAGAGCTTCGTTGTCAGATGCTAAGGAATTTTGTGGACAGTTATTTTTCACATATATAAAGATATTGGGCAGACTTACAGAGAGAGAAAGAGGAGAGAGAGAAAGATCTTCTATCTGCTGTTTCACTCCTCAGATGGCCACAACAGCTGGAGCTGAGCCAGTCGAGGGGCTTCTTGAGTTTCCCACACAGGTGCAAAGTCCCAAGGCTTTGGGTCATCCCTATACTGCTTCCCAAGGCATAAGTAAGGAGCTGCATGGGAAGTGAAGCAGCTGGGACATGAACTGGTACCCATAATGCTGGCACTTGCAGGCTGAGGATTAGCCGGTTGAGCCATCACACCAGCTCCCAAACCGGTTCTTAAAAACAGTAATGCATTGACAGTGTTACTTCACATACTGGCCATTAATGAAAATGGCCAGGGTTGCAGGTCAGGGTTTGGTTTGGTTTTGGTTTGAGAAATGGTTAGCCTATTCCGGTATACTACCTGGAATGCTTTATAGAAGACACACAATGATGAGACCTCCAAGACCAGATTCCTCAGTTAGGGGACAGCTAGCCTAAGTTCCAGAAAGGATATTAATGAAGGATTTTTTTCTGGGGAAACTAGTGTTTCCACCAGACAGTGTTGTAGCTACTTCAATTAAACCTATACAATAAAATTACTTCAGCTAAATAGTGAAATCCATCATTTGAAGAAACTTCTCAGCTATTTAAAAGCTCATTCTTAAATATTCACATTTGGTAAGGATTACTGGACATTTGAAGAAACCCTCATATGAAAAAAGGAATAATTAAATTTTAAAAATTTAGCAGAAATATGTGTACTAATCTAACAATAAAAAGTTGGGAATAAAGAAATACTCAGAATAAAAGGAAAGCCTTAAGTAAGTTAGCAAACGTAAAAATTACATCATAAAGAATTCCTCAGTCTCGTAGCAATGAAACCAACAGTGTCTCAGAACTATCGAAAGCTCTTAAGCAATTCCCTTGGACATTCTTCTCCGTGTAGGGAATCCTAGGCTGACATCAAGTGGCCATCCTTCATACCAGGTACTGATTTGGTTTGGTGGCTGGGAGCAGTCCCCTGCCCCCCGCCCCTCACTTCCTCACATACAGCAGGGGAACAAACTGGAAGCATTTGTCTCTCCCACTTTATCCCATGTCTCCACCCTGCCTGCCCTAATCAGTGGCCCACATGAATATACATATTTTTTAACTATATAAACAACATCAAAACTAAAACAATTTTTAAAAATTATAATGAAAAGGTTAGGTTATTGATGTTGATATGATATTCTAGAAAGTAGAGTGGAAAAACAAGATGGGAAAGAGGAAGAAAGAAAATTAGGAAATAAGTCCCAGGAGTGTGTAGTTCTCAGAGTATACAGAAAAAAAATTTGTAGGGAGAAGCATAGATGATAAAATTGATGCAAACATGTTACTCAGGTTGAAGTAAAGTGGATATTTTTTATTGTGTTGTTTTATTAATTTTGGAAGTGAATTTATTAATATATAAGTTTAGCATATAGCTAATTATTTAGAAACTTCTGTGTTATAAGCAAGAATAAGTTAAGGAAATTTGGCCTTTGCTAGTATTAATAATATCCTGAAATAGAAGGAGTGAAAATAGGAATTCATTTTGGGTACTCTGAGAGTGATAGCAGCTTGTGAGATAGAGGAGCATCTTCATGTCAGAACTGTAATGTGCTTTTTATTGGGTGAACTGCCATAACCTTGTAGACTAATACATCAAATGTAGTTGAGATGGAATGTCTTATATGGGATACTTCTGCAGCCTTTAATGTGAGATGGCTGAGTATGGTTATATACGAAGAAAACAAGGCATGCTATGGTTTTAGAAAGGTAGGTTACACATATCATGTGATATGATCTCATCAGTATTTTAAAATATATATATTTGATATACTTGTATGCCTTCCAGACACTTTCTGGAAGGATACACAGAAGCTGTTGAAGTGATTACTTCTGGATATAACTTTCCTGGTCATTTTCTTTTGTGTGGCCTGACATTTTTATCATGAGTGTACATAGTCTTAATAAAGATGAACTAAAGAACTTGAGTATTTCAGGTGTATTAGATATGTAGGTAAGCATTTACACTGCTTGCATTTACAGAAGTTTACTTGGGTCGTCAGAAGACATTGAAGAAACAGCAACACTAATGACACTGAATTAATACCTTTAAAATCCTCGTCTTAGAAAAGACTTGGTACTATTTTTACTTTTTAAAAGTTTTTGTAGGAGGTAGTGTGAAACTTCTCCAACATCAACTTGAAGAAGTAATTGTTAATATGATAAATATTTAACTTATGCTAAAATGTGAATTTGGAGTTAAAATAGTTTTTATTGGTTTCTAGCCGGTTCTGAAATACATGGTCTGAAAAAGTACTGTGTGGTAGTTAAAATTTTTAGTAGTATTGGGCTGGATTGTGCTACATTTCATACTTTTCAGTCCTGTATTTTATATTACTTTTTCAGTACATTAAAACTTACGCAGTGAAACTGAATAATGGCAATGTTTTTATACCCTTTTATAGCCATTTCTTTATCATAACCTCCCCCTATTTCCTGTAAGCTAAACTATAAGCACCTTTATGTTAATTTATGAAAATTATTGTTGAGATAGCACATTACCACTGATCTGTATGGCACTTTCAGCATGTTTAAAGCAAAGGTCCAAGCAACATAAAACACATCAAAATTCATTAATGTGGTATTGATTATTTTTTGGATAATTAATTTTATTGCAGACCCTTGAAAGAGATAATGAGCTGCAAAGGGAGAAGATAAAAGAAAATGAAGAAAAGTTCCTTAATCTTCAAAATGAGCACGAGAAAGCACTAGGAACTTGGAAGAGACATGTAGGTTGATTAAATAATAAAATATTAGAATATTTTTAAGTAATGGTGTACATTTAAATGACTATTAAATGCTAAGAAATTATTATATAAGTAATATACAAAGAAAATCAGGCATATTTTTCTTACATTCATATTTCCAAAAAGTAAATGCTTTTTAACAGCTAACTTTAATAAAATTCTCTGCAGAGTTTTCATGCATGAAGGACCACATATAAGTGTGTATGAGAAAATATATGCTAAATAACCCTCCATAAGTAATTAAGAAAAATTAATTTACCATTTCATACAACCTCTGCAAAGTATTTTAGCAAATGATTAAATAATTATGTTTCCTATTATTAGCTCATCTATTTATTTTTTCAGTTTTGTTAAAATGTATTAGTGCCAGATCTAGAGCATGTATCCAGAAGTTAAGTTCTGTTAAAGTAATATTTATCATGAAAGTTTTATGTGTTATCAGTATGGCTATTTATGTGTATTTTTTACATTGAATTTACTTTCCATTAAGTAGATAATAAAAATAATATAAAGCGATGTAACCATTGAGTTGTGAAATGTAAAGATTCACTTTCAAGATTGATAGGTCCCAAAACTGATCATTCAATTTTAATATCAGTTTTAATTGCTTTTTTGTTCTAAAAGAATTACAGAGTAGAAAGTTAGTATTTGAGTTTCTGAGTTCTGTTATACTACCTTTCGCATGTTGTTATATATTACATAATATTTACACAAATACCAGTTTGATGCCATTTTCTGTAGATGATTTTTATTTAAACATTATATGAAGAACACATTCACTTGTAACTACATTTTCTGAATTTACAGTTTGAAGCATTGAAGTAAGTCTTCACTGATGATCTTGAAATGTTTAACTCAAATATAAGATTGTGCTTTGTTGTATCAGAATGCTAAACATTTTTATTGTGTGTTCTATAATGTAAGGCTATCATTAAACAATAAGCATGTTAATCTTCATTTTAACTTCAGTTAACCTAACCTTCCTTCTCAATGGAATTGGTCCTGTGGGAGTAAGGAAAACATTAAAGTTAAAAGTAATATAAAATTAAATATACCAAGTGTGCTACACATACATAAGAGATTCAGTGAGCTAAGAGTTAAACATTCATTTTCTCTGGTTATATTACAACCATGCTCCTCTCCTAATAAAGATTTCACTAGTGGTAAGAATCTTCATGTAAAATAAAATTTTATACTGAAAAAAAAAAGGATATTCAGGAATTATTTAAGGAAGCAGGGGTCACAAAAGAAACTCAATCTACAATATACATTGAGTGAATACTATACAGTAGGCAGTATTGGAGGCACTGGACTTTTGTAGATGCCTAAAATACAATACCAAAGAGTACACAGCTCTGAAAAGACAGATTACTATAGAATGAACCTTAACAAATATGTAGCTGTAAAAAATACAGCAAAGAATTTAAACAATGAAATAAATCACATCCTATAGGTAAGCTTAAAAAGTTTTAGAAAAAGATTGACACTAGTATTTTACCTTAAAAGATAAATAGGAATTCACTAGATGCGAGATACTCATTCCCAAACCTTCCCATTCCATCCTGTGGCATTCCTTAAGAATTGGGGAAAAATCAGGAAGACATGGCACTGTATTTCCAATATAATGACTAGTCTGCTCAGTTAATAGCAGGGTGTGTTTTCATGACACTTGAAAATAAGTTATCTTTAAAAAGGTCTTTTACTGACAGAACTGAATTTTCTAAGAAGTGTATATACTGACAATTTAAAAGCAGCTAAGTGACATGGGCATGTCTGTGCTTTAAAAAAATAACTTGTTACAGTATGAAGAATATATTTATAGAAAGAGATCAGTAAAGAACATTATAATGATTCTGCCATGAGCATATAAGGATGTGAATTAGAGGCAGAGTCAAGAGAACAGAGAAGAGGGATACATGCAGGAAGCATTTTAGAAGAATTGGCAAGATTATTCACATTCTGTGTGTGATGGACATTGAGAGGACAGTCTCGGTGTGCAGCATGCAAAGGTCCATCATAAAAGTCAAATATGTCCCTGAGATGAGCATTGTTTCTAGATTGATGATGTATTGGTTGACATAAGGAATAAAGGAGAAAAAAATAATTATTCATAAAAACGGCTCATGTTTTTTTGAGCAGCAGATTTACAGAGAGAGAAGGAAAGAGAAAGAGGGAGTGATCTTCCATTTATTGCTTTGCTTCCCAAGTGGCCACCACAGCCAGAGCTGAGCTGATCTAAAGCCAGGAGCCAGGAACTACTTCTGGGTCTCCAATTGGGTACAGGAACCCAAGGACCTGAGCAATCCTCAGCTGCTTTCCAGGCCATAGTCAGAGAGCTGGATTGAAAGTAGAACCACTGAGATTTGAACCAGTACTCATAAGGGATGCCAGCACTGTATCTTTCCAAGGAAAATTTTGCTGTAAAAGAATAATGGGTTTAATTGAAAACCATTGAATTTGTTATGCAAGCAAAGAGGCCTGGCTTGAAATGTACATCATGCATTTGGAAATGGGAGCCTAACCTTAAGAGAAAGGCTGGGAGAAGTAACATTTAAGAAGATTTATTAGCGTAAAGGTGAAAAACGAAGTTGTACGTGAAATAAAGTCACTTAGAGAGTGATGGAGGAATTGAAGAGAATATGGACTAAAGAAAAAGAATTTTAGGGAATGCCAGCATTTGGTGAATGTGTGTTGAGGCAGGAAGGGAAGAAGTGGGGGGAGCTGATAAGAGAAGAATGGAAGCCAAGAGAGGAGGATGTTTGAAGAACACAGTAATATATAACCAGTGTGAGCAAGCTGAGAGCATGAGCAGAACATACTTGTGGGCTGAGAAGATGCTGATTCAGTGTGTGAGAAATTGAGAACAGGCACAAGGGGAGACGATTGCTGAAGCTAGGACAAAGGGAAATAGATGACAAAGAATGCATGGAGAAGCAAAGGGAAAAACCATGTGACTATAACTGCTGGCACCTATAAAGAATAATACACATAGTTGTAGGATTTGTGGAAGGCGTTTCAAAAATTATGGCTCTTAATAATTTGTGGGGTTTTTTTAAAATAATTAAACAAAACATATGTTAATAAAGTACTTTCAGGCAAGACATACACACTTGCTCATTTTTATTAAATGTTATAATAGATTGAAGATCTTAATGAAGAAATTAATGAGGTTAAAAATGAATTATCATCACTTAAGGAAACTCACATCAAATTACGAGAATATCACAACAAGTGTTGCAATCAGAAAAAGTTTGAAGAACACAAGAAGTTTCGGGTAAGATTCAAGCATATGGGGGGAGGATATAAAATGACGTAGTAATTAGAACCATAGTTGATGATTTTCTACGTTTCACATTTCCCACATTTTAAAAAATGAATAATAGCATGTGGTCTATCATACATTTTAGTTCATTTTCATAGGCAGTATGACAGGATCTAGGGATGTTTATCTGAAGATGGATTTCTTGTCATTCTAGCATAGAATTCGCTGAAAAAAACTGTTCTTTTTTTCCCTGGTCATGGTAATGTCTTTGAAAATCACTTGACCAGGTATATGCCAACTGTATTTTTGTAATATTTCTTAAATATTATACACACACACGTATGGTTAAGCAGTATTACACTATTAGTGTATATTTGTGAGAAATCTTAAAATATAGTCCTGGAGTTTTGTTGTTTTTGGAATTTGTTTTTGCCATGCCAGGTACTCCATTCAACAATATCATTTTTAGTTATTTCTCAGTTTTTAAAAAGATGTATATAAAATTTTTTTGAGGTTTTGTTGAGTCTATACAGTAATTTGCAAAGTATTGACATCTGAAGAGGATTAAGTCTCTTAATTCATGAACCTAGCTTAGCTTTCCATTTATTTGGATATATAAAAAAATCTGAGAAATATTTGATGTTCTTATTGTGCATCTTGATTTGGTGTTGAATCTATGCAGTAATTTATAAAGTATGGACATCTTAATGTTAGTCCATGAACATTGTATAGCTTTTCATTTTGTTCAATTGGATATGTAAAAATAGATCTCTGAAATTGTAAACATTTTCAAATTAATATTATAGTGATTTTTCTTTCTGAACTGTTTGGGCTTACTTTGTGTTTGATCATAATATCTGGGAATTGAAAACAGTTTTACTTTTTTCCTAAAACTTGGTATGGATTTTCTTAGTTAACTGTATTCACTAGGGCCCTGGAATACAATGTTGGATACAAGTTGTGAGATTGTGCATGCTCATCAGCTGGGGAGTGTGGGCAACACCCGCGTCTGGGTTATGAGACAGACAAGACAGACAACACACACAACACACAGAAGCTCATTCTTGTGAAGTGAAGGCCTTTATTCAAAGTCGAACTGCTCTTATATAGTCTGCTTGGCCCCTCCCAGGATTTTCCCAATGTTTAAGCAATACCTAAGCTCCCCTGAGGACGTGCAAAAAAGGGGAAGCAGGAAGGAGGGAAATTGCAGTCAAGCCAGGGGCTAAATGTATCAGGCCATGATTGCCCTTCCTGTTACACCTTGAGAACCAAGCTAAGCTGTGGAGTTAACCCCTGGGAGACCAGGGCCTACAGGGGAGTATTTACTTTTTCACCATTTCATGCTGTATTGGCTGCCAGCCCTTTTTAGAACTCTTTATTTGGCTGAGAACGTTTCCTTCTGTTCATGATTTGCTGAGTTTTTATCATAAATAATTTTAATCATGAATGGATCTAAAATTTTGTCAGATGCTTTTCTTGTTTTGGTTAAGTTGATCACATTGTATTTATTATGCTAATATCAGTGCATCAAACATCAAAGTAAGCTTGGATTCCTATAATGAATTTCAGTTTGTTGTGATGTGTGTTATCCCCTCCCCCTTTTGTTAAGATTTACTTATTTTTATTGGAAAGTCAGATTTACAGAGAGAAGGAGAGACAAAGACCAAGTGGTTGTGAAGGCCAGAGCTGAGCCGATCAGAAGCTGAAGTTTCTTCCTGGTCTTTCACACGGGTGCAGGATCCCAAGGCTTTGGGCCGCTCTGACTGCTTTCCCAGGCCACAAACAGGGAGCTGGATGGGAAGTGGGGCTGCTAGGATATGAACCAGAACCCATATGGCATCTCGGTGGTTGCAGGGTGAGGACTTTAGCCACTAGGCTATTGTTCCAGGAGCCCCTTTTTTTGTTTTTAATATTACTGAATTGGAATTGCTAATTATTCATTAAGGATTTCATCTATAGATTTTATTTGGGTTGTTTTTGTTCTGTTTTGGTCTGATTTCAGTGTCACCAGTAATACTAGTCTCATAAACTGAGTGCAATATATTCCTTCATCCTGAATTTAGAAGAGCTTGTATAGTACTGGTGTTAGTTCTTTATTAAATGTTTATTAATTATGAAAAGTTACCAGTAAGTCTATCTGTGATTTCTCTTTATGAGAAAGTTTTTAATAACACAGTTAGTATTTAAATTGTTAACAGAGCTGTTTAGATACTCAGTTTTTTATTTTTTGGGCATGCAGAAAAGGGTTAACATAGGAAGTCTGCAATTACTATCTTTTGTAAAGCTTACTTACAAGTAAACTTGATTCTTCCTGGTCTGCCCACTCAAGAGTTGAAAAGGGTTCTCATCATCCTGTAAGTGAGGAGAATGGCTTCCTTGTCCTAAAGTGTTAATACAAACAAAATAACTTTGTTCTAGCAATTTGGAGTTCAAAAACATGCTAGACAGAAAATATCTTCATGACTAGCCCACCTCCCCAAAATCTTGGCAGAGAGTCTATTATGAACTGTCTATAGAAACAGTTCACAGGATGTCAGAGTACTACATGATTAGCCTTTCTTGTGTGACTCCATCAGAATGCAACTTTTAGAAGCTTGTACCTGGTTTCCTCCTGACCATGGCAAGTGCCTTTCCATACCTCATTTTGCTGTAATAAATCTTCACAAAGTAAGATGTGGTCTTGGGAACTCCAAGCACAGCTTACATAATTTTAAAAACTTCTTTAAAACTTTGAGAGAAGTTGGGAGGCATAGGAAAAGAGAAATAGTGCTCCCTCATCCATTGGTTAGCTTTCGCAATACCTTCAATGTGTGAGCCTGGGCTGGGGCTGGAGCCAGGAATGTAATCTAGTCTCTCAAATAGGTGGCAGGAATGCAATTCCTTGAGCCTTTCCTTCTGCCTCTCAGTCTGCATTAGCTGGAAACTGCAGTTAGGAACCAGAGCCAGAAATAAAACCCAGTTACTCTGATGTGGACTGTTGGTATATGAATTGCTAAACTAAAATGCCCCTTACCAGTTTAGGTAATTTTTCATTCAATAAGCTTCATATAAATGGTCATATTTATTGCTTTAGGGTTTCTTATGATATTCCTTCCTTATCATATTCATCTATAGGATATGTATTAATGGCCCTCTTTTATTCTTAATATTTGTTAGTTCTTGTCTCTCTACCCTCCAAAGTATAGTTAGAGGTTTTTCAATTTTATTGATCATCTCAAGGAACTAGTTGTAGACTTCATGGTTTCCCTGTAATGTTTGCTCCTTTGCTATTTTATTCATCTTTACCATTAAAACTGTTACTTCCTTCATTCTACTTGCTTTGGTTTTAGTTTTTTTTTTTTTTCTTGGCTACTTAAATTTGAATCTTGTTTTGTAAGGGACCCCGAAGTGAGGACAACCTTATCGTCTACCGAGAAAGTGAGTCTCCCCAATGATCAGCAAAGACGAGGCTTGATGCAAAAGCATGAGGCTTTTTTCGGGTACCAGCGTGCTGGGTCTAGGGCCAGTTCCTCACGCAGGAGGGCAGACACACCAGCAGCGAGCCATTACACAGCATTCTTTTTATAGGCCAAAATCACACAGCATTTTAAAATCAGTTGCACAAAGGGTAAAGGCTAAAAACCATAAAATAAAACTAGGGGCTTTTTTCTGACCATTACATCGTAAGTCTGCTGTTTCTTTCAGTTCCTTGTCACAATTTTCCTTGAGTTTACTTTTCTCAGACTGAGTTTACTTTTTTCAGACCTTTGGAGCCTCCTCCAAGAAGTCAGGGACTTTCCGTCTCCTCACAATTTTACCTTGATTCCTCCTGAGTTACCTATCTCAGGGCCACTGTCGTACTTTCTATCCTGAATCCCAATTGACCTGAATCATTTACCAAGAGAAGTCCTATTCAACTATTCTCAGCAAGCGTGCTACAGAGGCAAAAAAAGCAAATTCAGTTCCCCTGTTCTAATTTTTCCTTTTCAGTTTTAAAAGATGTCTTCATCTGTTTGAAAGTGTTACAGATAGAAGTTGGAGGGGACAGGGAAAGGGAGAGCTCTTCTATCCACTGGTTCATCCCCTAGATGGTTGCAATGGCAATGGCTGTTCTAGACTGAAGCTAGGAGTCAGGAGCTTCATCTAGGTCTCCCGTGTGGGTGGCAGGGATCCATACTCTTGGACCATCTTGTATAGCTTTTCCCGAGCCATTAGCAGGGAGCTGGATTGGAAGTGGGACAGTCAGAATGTGAACTGATGCCAATATGGGATGACAGTATCACAGGTAGGGACTTTACACCACGATGGTAGCTCCAAGTTAGAATCTTAGAACATTGATGAATTTGCCTTTATTTTATGAGCATTCACAGCTGTAAGAATTCTTGCAAGCACTGCTTTAACTGCATTCCACAGATTGTGATGTTTTCATTTTCATTCAGTTAAATTATTTCAAGATTTCCCTTTTGAGATCTTCCATAAAGAATTCAGATTCCAAATAGAAAATTTCCAGATGCATTTCTAATGAAGTTTTAAGTATAATTTGGTTCAGAGAAAATTCTGATTAGACTTTCATCCTTTCAGATATATTGCCGTTTGTTTGTTGGCCAAGTATATCATATATCTTGGAGAATAGTTCCAGTGTCCTTTAGGAGCTTATGTATTCTGCTATTTGAGAAGTGTCTAAATGTCAGTAAGTCAGATTGGTTGAGCATATTCTTGTCTTCACTGTACTTTTTGTTTGCCTATTTGTACTTTCTGTCAGAGAATATTGGGAACTTTAATTGTAACTGTGAATTTGTTTTTCTCAGTTCTGTTGACTTTTTTCTTAATTTGTTTTTAAGCCCTGTTTTCAAGTATATAATGATTGTTATGGCACATTTATGATTTTTTTAAAAGATCTATTTATTTTTATTAGAAAGGTAGATTTATAGGTAGGAGAAACAGAAAGATCTTCCATCTGCTGCTTCACTCCCCAACTGGCTTCAAAAGCCAAAGCTGAGCTGATCTAAAGCCAGGAGCTACCTACAGGTCTTCCATGTGGATATAAAGCATCTTAGCTTTGGGCTGTCTTCAACAGGTTTCCCTGGCCACAAGCAGGGAGCTGGATGGAAAGTGGAATAGCCAGGACACGAATTGGCACTTATGTGGGATGCTGGTGTTTGATGTTAGAGAATTAGCGAATTGAACCATCATGCCAACCCCCACATTTATGATTTTATGACTTGCTGAAATAATTGACCTTTTTAATTGAATTAAGTATACATTTCTAAAGTCTTGGAATTGTTTATTCTGAGGTCTGTTTTTCATTTATTGTCTGAGCTATGGCCAAAGGGTCAAAACTAGCCCAATATTAGTTTATATAATTACCTTGATACATAACCATAAACACAGATGCGTGTACCCAACTCCAGTGAACTATACACAAAAAAGGATTAAAACTTTAACCTTTATCTTGTATATATTTTACCACAATAGCAATATGCATGAGTCCAGCTCCAGCCGAGTTCAGAACTCAAGAAGGGTTTGTGGAGTAGGTGTAAAGAGGAAAGAAATAGACCACTACAATTTCAGGATCATAATAGACAATGCAAGAAAGCTTTCCCCTATATTTATACAGAAGTAGTCACAAGCTCTGGCACAGACTTTTTACCGCATGGTCAAATGGGTGTTTCCAGGGATAATTCTGTTTGTTTCACCTTGAAGCTCTCAATAGAAGTTCTCAATTGACAGTGCATATCAATCAGTAACACATTTCTGCTACAATCCTCATTGTACAACTTAATCTTGAATCAATTAAGGGAGGAAATGCATCACAAGAAAGGGGGAACCCTTAAGATCATTGATGGTCATATTGGGGCAGCAGAGACAGAAACAGCATGAATTGTAAAAGGCCCTTTGGCAAGACTTATCAGCAACATCAACTTCCAGGTTCGCATTGATAGTGAAGACCAACTCAGCAGTAGCAGACAATGCTTAAATAGATTATAGAATTCTCAGCGGAGTTGTTCTGTGTCCATGCAAAGGGAGGTGGAACTACTTTTGAGATGGTTGTAGAGACATCCACAGGGCCTTGCGATGCAGTGGGAAAGTCTTTGTGGTCTTGCCTGCAATGGAACAATTCTCTTCACACCTTTGTGTCCTCCACACCCTCTGCACAGACCCCAGCAGCAATACAAACAATAGTACTCAAAAATAAAAATACTTCATTATCTTATTTAACATAAAAATATGAATATTCCCATTTGTAAAAGAGAATGCATACACACACACATACATACATACATGTACACACTTAAATAAATGCAATCACTACTCATGAAAGATAGTAGCTGTGTTAGTGTCAGAAGAAATAGACTTGAGGGCTTCAGGGGATGGCGATTTGGCCTAGGGTCAAGCCTCTCAATGGGATGACCACATGTTGTCCCTGTGTTAAAGAGCTTGAGTCCCAGCTCCACTCCTCACCCATTTCCTGCTAATCAACCTAGCCAGGTGTGGTTCCAATAATTGTGTTTATAACAATCGCATGAAGGATCTTGAATTGAAGTCCCAGCTTCTAGCTGTGGCAGGCCTAACTGTGGCCATTGTGGCAAGCTGCTGTACCGTGGAGAGTTTCATCAGCATTTTAGCCTTTATTCTCCTTTAGTCTCATCTTGTATATCTTCATTATCTATACCTGCCAGTGATTTTCAAGTTTTCATTTACAGGCCAAATTTCTCTTTTAGACTTCAGATTCTGCATCTAAATGTTCATTAGACATTTAGCTCATTATGTTCAAACTGAACTCATTTCCCTCCAAGCCTGTTTTCTAGCTGAATGAATGACATCAACCAATAATTGATGTTCATTCTGAGCATCAAACTTGTCTATTTTTTTCTCTTAACCTTCACATCGAACCATTGGCCAGTTCGTAAATAATTCATTAATTTCTTCTTGGCTCTTCCTGTTGCTTAGATCACCTGGGCTTCCTGTATTTTCTTCCTTTTATTCAGTATTTTTCAGACTTCAAGTTGTAAACTGTCAGTGGTTCATGCAGCTGTGTGTAGTGGTTTGTGACCAGCATTCATTTAAAAGAAAACAAAGTAGCAGCAAAAACATTAGTGTGTCACAGTAAGTATTACTTGATGAGTTAGAAACATTCCTCATTGCTGGTTTCACCAATTGATTTGTTCTTTTAAAAAGTTTTGTTTGTTTATTTGAAAGGCAGAGCCATAGAGAGAGCAAGAGATAGAGACAATTCTTCCAAATGGCTGTAACAGCTGTGTTTGTACCAGGCCAGAGTCAGGAGACTAGAGCTTCTTACAGGTTTTCCATGTAGAAGGACAGCTTGGGCTGTCCTCTTCTGCCTTGCCAGGTGCACTGCACAGGAGCTGGAGCAGAAGTGAAGCAAATGTGTTATGAGTTGGCATGTAAATGGGAAGCCAGTGTTGCAGGTGGAGGCTTAACTTGCTATGTCACAACACTGGTCACATTTTTTTTTTAATGATTTATTTACTTTCATTGGAAAGGCAGATTTACAAAGAGAAGGAGAAACAAAGATAGATTCTCTCTCTACCAGTTTGCTCCCCAGTGGCCACAATGGCTGGAGCTAAGCTGTTCTGAAGCCAGGAGTTTCCTCCAGGTCTCCCATGTGGGTTCAGGGTCCCAAGGCTTTGGACCATCCTTCACTGCTTTCCCAGGCCAAAGGCAGGGAGCCAGATTGGAAGTGGAGCAGCTGGGACACGAACTGGCACCCTCATGGGATCTCAGCACATGCAAAGTGAAGATTTAACCACTGAACAATCGTGCCGGGCCTCACAATTTGTTCTTTTACTATAACCAAAATGGTCTTTCTAATTATGTTGTAGAATTCATTTCTTATTTAAAACCCTTCAGTGTCTTCCTGATAGTGTTGCAGTCCGTCACATGCTTAGTGGCCTACACTCAACTTGCCTGAAGCTCGAGCTAAACTAAATCACTGAGTTCTGTGAATAGAGCATCTAGCATCTGACTTGCTCTCAAGCATCTGGATCTGCCATTGTTCCTCCTAAATGCCCTGTTCCCATCAAGGCCCCCTGTCTTATTTCAAGTCCATTGACCTCTCCCTCTGAGGAGCCTTTGCTCTGCTCCCTCAGGAGCATCCTGTGTTTTGTGCGTGCTCCCAGTAGCCTACATTTATCTCAGGTAATAGCATTTACTAGATTTTATAAAAGTTGCCTCTTAAATATTCTACTGTCTTCATCCCAGGCTTATAAATCTTTTGAGGAATAAGATTTCATTTTGTTCATCATTGTATCCCAAAGCCTAGTGCAGCATTTCATGTACATATGTAACCTAAATGTGGAGAGTGGGGAAGCACATTGAATTGATTGTTTTAAGATACATAAAAAATTCATTTCAAAGTTTACCTGCCATGTTTACTTTGCTTTTTATAGAGAGGGGGGATTATCCATTACATATAAGAATAGCAAAAGTTTATTGAAAATGTGTTATGAAGTAAAATATAGATTTCAAAGCTTTTGCCCCAGGATAAGTATCTTAATTCCATTTTTCCACTAGCTTTTTGAAGTTTACTTGTATAATATATGGTGTATAAGGTAATGTATGCATGTTGTAAGGATCTTCATTGAAGTTTAAGACTGTGTGAAACCTAAGTGATCTTGTTACGAAAAGGATTTTATTAGACTTAGTGAAAAAATTTCCATTTTCTTATAGAATTTTTTTCAGAAAATCTTTTTTTAAAAAGATTTATTTTTGCCAAGCTGATTAGGAGACAGGAGCTTCTTCTGGGTCTCCCAAATGGGTGCAAGGGCCCAAGAACTTGAGCCATTCTCTCTGCTTTCCCAAGCCATAACCAGGGAGCTGGGTGCGAGGTAGAGCAGACAGGACATCAACTGGTACCCATATTGGTTGTAGACTCCACAGATAGGGGTTTGGCCTATTATGCCATGGTCTTAGCCCTCAAATAGAAACATTTTTTAAAAGATCTACTTATTTGAAGGAGTTGCAGAGGGAGGTACAGACAGACAGACATCTTCCACAGGCTGGTTCATTACCCAGATTACTGCAGTAACCAACACTAGGCAAGGCCAAAGCCTGAAGCCAGGAGCTTCATCCAGGTCTCCCACTGTGTCACTGGTACTTAAATACTTGAATTATCTTCTATTGCTTTTCCCAGACTATTTGCATGTATCTGAATAGAAAGTGGATTAGATGGGACAGGAGCTGGTGTCCATATGGGATGATGAGGTTTTACCTGCTACAAGTAGAAATTGTTAATGCCTCAATTGAAAGGTGGATTCTGTTTTTATCAGACAAGTTGGTTCTGTTGTTTTATTCTTAAATTCATTTATATTAAAGGAATCTTTCCCATTTTACACTAGAATGTTCCACAAATAAATAATGAAAACTGTGAAATGTCAACTGAAAAATCAGAAAATGCCATCATAAAGAAAAATAATTCTGAGCAAGAAATAATGGAAGATAATACTGAGAGTCTGATTGGTGACAGAGAAAACAAGGAAGAGAAAGAATGCCTGCCTAGAGAAGAAACTAATGAAAAAGGTAACCTGAAAATCACATGGGTAACTTCTAGCTTGAGATTTTTTTTCCCCCACAAATAAAGACTGCCAAAACATTATGCTGGACCTTCTATGGAATTTAGGGGACTATCACAGTCTTTGGTTTGAGGCCATGGTATCATAGATGGAAAAATAGATGCCTTTTCATTTGTATACGAAGTTGCTTCAGAAAGGTCATAGAAAAGGAAATTTAAAAGTTTATTTTGGTACAAAAAAAAAAAAGGAAACATGAAAAACAAAAGGTCTTCAGTAAGTTCCTGGAAATTTGTATTTTGTAAAATTGCGTATTATGAAGAAATGCATATATTAGAAAAAATTTTACTTTCGTGGAATTTTAAATTCTAGTTTTAAAAAGTTTTATTGATTTCAATTTTATTTGAAAGAATTTTCCATTGGCTAGTTTACTCCCCAGATGCCTACAACACCTGGGGCTGAGCTCAGAATTCAGTCTGAGTCTCCCACCCAAATGGCAGGGAGCACAGTTCAGGATCCATTTGCTGCCTCCTAGGACCATATTCAGGAAGCTGAATCAGAAGATGGAAATACCAGGCTCCAACCAGGCACTCCACTATGGTCTGTGGGCATGCCAAGCAGTGTCTTAACTGCTGTGTCTTATACTGCTCTGAATTCCATTTCTCATGAGCCTTGTGAAGTACCTTTATGTGTCAACAAAGCAAGCAAGCATTCTTTAAGCTGCTCTGAAACAGTCAATATTTATAACCAGTGTTTTTGGGGGAAATTGCAAGGTTGCCTCTCTCTATCATCACTTCTTCCTTGACTTTTTCCGTTCTGGTTTCTGCCTTCACTGCTTTGCTGACCATGCTATCAGGGTCACCAGTAGCTTTCTGATGAGCAGGACCATGACATTTTTCATAATTCAAATCACCTTTCAGTAACCACTGAAGTAATTTACTAATTGTTCTATTTTGAAGAGTTGCTTAAACATGATACTGATTCAAAGTTTTCATACCTAGGCTGAGCAACCACTTGGTGGAGATGTTGTAGAGAGAATGATTGGTCTAGGAAAGCCTTCAAGACCTGAACTTTGTATTCTAAATTAGCTTAACCACACTGGAAATTTGAAGTCCGTGGTAGACCTAGGTTAATACAATCAGCATCTCTATTAATGGAAATATTCTGTACATTTTCCCAAAACTATCTTAGAGTTTAAACATATCACATGATAGTGGATAAAAAAGTGAGTTTCCAGTATTGAAGAAACTGGCAATTGCAGAACATTGCTGGACTGAGTAGTAATATGAGTTAGAGTGTAACCTGATAACAGAGCTAAGTTTTATCAACAATGTGTTGTTATGGAATTAATGTAACATTAGAAAAATTAAAGCATTTTGCAATATCTCAACTTATAAGCTTTTAAGCTAAAAATACTTTTGCTGATATGAAATAAAAAATCATATGGGTAGAGCCAAATATTTAGCACCTGGATATATGCTTATAATGATAAAAATAACTCAATATTTGGGTAAAATTTATGTTGCTATGCTCATGTAATTTATAACTATCCAACAAAATATGTAAGGCTAAATGTATAGTATAAATATGTTTTCTAAACAAGTTTTAGAGTGTAATAAAACTTCATTGTGTTCTCATCATGACAGATTTACAACTTTTTGAAAAAAAACTAAAGGAAATTGATACTGTGGTATCTCAGGATGAGACTCGAAGTGAAACCTTGCTAGGCAACACTCTCTGTGTAGATAAAGAAGTAATTATTCAAGAACAAACCTTGAATGTTACTGACTTAAAGTCAGTTGCTACAGAAGGAAAAGACAAGATGTGCTTGAAAAAAGACAGTGTTTGTACAGAAGATAAATCATCAAATAATCCATTTTTAGTGGTAGATACAGCAGTAGAAACAAAGAAACACCCAGAAGTAACTGATTTTTCCCATGCAGATATACACATGGAAGTTGAAAAAGGCCAAGCATTATTCAGCGGTATTGTAAATGAAATGTCTCACAATGTAAGTCATGGTAAAGATGTTTCTGAAAGTGAACCATCCAAGCAGCAGTTGAAATTGCCCCTGGGAACTCAAGAAAATGCTGCAAACAATGACATTACCAATAGTGGCCAGACCAAAGCGGATTTGGATTCATCTCTAGATGCAAAAGAGGATTCTGTTCAGTGTGAGAAATATGATTTACGGGATTCAAGTACTGTTATGTCAGATGATGAACAACAGAAAGGAAAACAAGTGCAACTGTTAAGTGAAAACAGTGAGTGTGGTGTGTTACCCTTTAAACAGCAAGTCTGTAATGACATCTCAGAGAGCCCTGGACTGCCTGTTACCTGTGATAGAGTAATCAGTCACCCTGTTTCATCAGCTGCTTTCCTGGATGATTTAAGAGTGCCTCTTCAGAACCCAGACAAAAATACTCATATTATGCCTGTGCTAGTTAAACCAGATGCAAGCCCTGAGGAAAGAACTGTATGGAAAAATCTGAATGATATGAAAAATAATCAATTTCAGAATGGTTTGAAATATCTAGAAAGCAGTAATCTGACCGCTTCTGATCCACCAGTGAAGGCTGACAGTAGTCTGACTTCACAAACCAAAGGTGTAAAAGCTGTAGAAACACAGCTTTTGAATAAAGAAAATCAGATTGAAGTGAATCAGCTAGCTGAAACCCCAAAAGCTGACCTCCTTTTTGTAAATGTTAACGAAAGGCAGCATGCATTGTTAAATAACACAGAGAATACAGAGTCTTTAAATGACGTCATATCAGGGAAAATATACAGTGAAGGACAGCTGGAAGAATCACATTCATTTCACATAAAGAGTGCTGTAGATTTAGTAAACAGAAGTGGAAGGTCAGCCTTTGATCTTTCGACTTCAGATAAAAAACCCGAGAAAACTACAGTGTACATGAATTTTTTAGATCCCAGTCCTTGGTCAAAAGTAAATCAAATTGAAAGTCAAACAGGGAGTACATCAACTACTTGCGTTCCCTTTTTCCTGAAGGAGAGACCAATAGGCGCATCAGCATGCAAAAACATCCTGTCAGGGACTCTTCACAGAAATGTTGGTGTGGATGATAGCCAAAAGGATATAGAATCAGGTAAGAAAACAGGGGGTTTTAGTTCTTAAAAACTGTTAATTTTTTTAAAAAGTCTCCAGATTGTATTCAAAATGAAAATGTTTATTATACTAATGGTCTTTTACACAAATGTAAAGTAGTATATGTGTCTATACATAACTGTAAAAAATGGATTTATTTTTTACTTAAATCTTGGGCACAATAATGTGTATAATTACATTTTGGAAATGAAATGTTATCACTAGCAAAAACAGTAGTTCTGGGTCATGAATTTTAGCTAAGAAGCAACTGCTTGGTCTGATCTTTCATTTTTAGAACAAGTGAGTGAAGCAGTGACGGTTTCTACCGGTGTGCTTCCACTCTCGGCATCTCACACAGCCTTCCCCAGAATCTGTCCTGTGTTGTCACTTTCTTCCTGTCACTTTTTCACCCTTCTCCCTGATGTTTCCATTTTAGTTGTCCCTACATTTAGCACAAATCTAGCTCATTCTTCATTTGTGTTATAACCGTGTATCTTGTGTTGCAGATTGTCACCTTGGAAATCTCCAAGACCCTTAGTTATCATGCTCCTCTGTTAATACACTGAAATGTTAAATATTTTACAGAATAGAGGGTCTATTTTAAGAACTCTCACATGAGTGACATAATGTAGAAATTTTGCTTTAAAACTTACAAGCAGCAAAAAGAAAGTGAAATATCTATGACTTCTCAGAGATGGCTGTCAGAACAGAGACATGCATTGAGGCGCATATGCTTTACAACTAGTGTTTAAAAATACACATTTAAACTCATTACACAAAAAAGATAAAAGGTTTGTGTGGTCCTCAGATTTTAAAATGTCCTTTCAGAAAGGACATTTTGAAGCTTAAAGTATTTGAGAATTAAAAATAAATTTGTTTACCAGCACAATTTAGGGAAAAACAGAAAATAGTGAAATATTGTATGCCCTCACTTGCCAAGGTACAATTTTTAAGTAAAATATATTATTTTAGATTCCATTAATTTTTAGTTCATCAGGTGAAGTTTCAGGAGCTGGTCTATTTACCATTTTTTTAAAGCCCTTTAAAAGTAAATTTCGCTAATGTAAGTAAACCATTTAAGGGGAAGATGTCCAAAATTTTGCAGAAACTCGACTTGTAAAGTGCTTTTAACCTTTACAGTTGACATGTTCTGTAAATCATTTCTATCTATTTATTAAAGCCCAGTGAGTCCTTCCGCACAGCCCTTTGTTAGCCCCATCCCTGTGGCCAGTTTCTTCAAATACAGCTGGCAAATCTGACTTAGTTGTTGCAGCCCCATGCCCATTAGTCTGAATTGGTAAAATGTTCATTTTATGAACTAAGTGTGGACAGTGCAGTAACCAGGGAGATAAGGATAACATTTTAGATGATTTGTTTCCTAAGATACTTAATTTGCTTCTCTTAATTTAAAATTGCAGTAATTGATGAGTTTTAGAAAGCAGAGTAACAGAATTTTGTTTTTCCTAAATAAAAGGCTTGATATTAACAGCCAAGTCCAAGAGCTTATACTCAAAATGGGAATTGTGCTTCTTAAATACAAAAGCATATGATCAGACAGAAACAAATTCAGTTACTACAGTGAGTACGTAGGGAATACAATTCAGTTGTTGCCATTTCCTTTTTGTCAGATCCTCCCAGGAAGAACAGAGTGGCAGACACTTTGAATAACTGGAGTATCCAAGCAGATCCCAGGGGAGGGCCCCGTGAGGAGAGGAATGCAACTGCAGAGACTTTTTATGATTCCTCTTTTCCCACAGAACATGTAAGTCAATTAAAAATATTGCCGAGCAGACCTTCGTGAGTTAATTCTACAGATATGTGTAGAACTGTACGCATCTGGATGCTTTAAGACCTAACTGATCTCCAAAATAATATCAGGAGGGCAACGTGGCACCATTTTTCACAATTAAGGTTGATAGAAAACAGCAGGAAAAAGTCACAGTGTATAAATCATATGGATATAATCCAGCCTGTTTGGGAAGGAGAGTGTGAGACACCATGTTGTATGCTTCTATTTTGTACTCACGTAATATAGAAATAATGGCATTTGAACGTTCAAGCTTTCCCCAAGTTAACAAAGCTGCTGCTTAGATACGCGGTTTTTAATGATGCTTTTAATGATTTTGGGAACTGAAATAAAATAAATGTTTCATTTCCATTAGAGTACAGTGGTGTGAAAGGATCAAATACCTACAAAATGATGTAAGTATGATACATAATAAATAGCTTGCACAGCTTTGAGGAGTGTAATTAGCAACTACAGCAGACAGGTACTTTGGCTAATTACCTGTACATCTGAATATGCAAAATGTAGCAAAAAAGAATTCAGAGTCTGCAGATCATTGTACCAAAACATTGCAACTGCTAAAGGTCGCCTAAAAAGATTTAAAAGAACACTTGTAACAAGTACTGACATTCTGTTGTTTTAAATTTTAGAGCTCCCCAAAATTAAAATTATACTACACATCCGTAACAAGTAACAGCTTTATTCATCACATTTTTAAATTTTTAAATTAGGGAAACCTCTACTAGCACCTCTCCCTTCCAGAAAATTGAAACAAAAATCTAGATTCTTCACTTTCCTAAGAGTAGCAGTATAGTTTCAACTTGGTGTACACAAATGTGTATCTTGAAAATATAGTGACTAAAGAGCAGTAAATTTGGCATTGGAAAACTAAGTTCTGACCTTGACCATTGGATAAGTCACAGGATCAAAGCAAAAAGGAAGCTTGAGAGCACCACAGCTAGACACCCATTTGTAGTTAGGTTGAATGCTTACATGTGTAACAGCATGATGGACAATTCCTCCCTCCCATTTTTATAATTGATACGGAAGTCCTTTGTATCTAATTCCTAGTGTGCTTCCTGCAATTAGTGTTCTTCAGAATTTACATTTATAGAATTTTTTTTTCACAGAAGCCTTTCCAAATCTTATAAGTCAAATAATTTTTCAGCAACGATGTATATGTGCAACTATTTTACAAGGTCATTAAGACGCAATCTGCAGTGGACTTAGACCACGTCTTGATCCTTAGTCAAAAGTTATGTTAATTAAAATAGAATGTGTCTTCTCAAAATGACTCACACAAGCTGTTTACTGGATGAAACCCTTGCTGGTTTCTTCAGCAGCTCCTTCACCATGCCGGTGAAGGTGCCTATGCCCCTGGCTCGCTCAACCTGTGCCGTTGCGTGCTGTGAGAGACCAGTACAAACGAGGGATCCAGGCATGTTGCTACTCTACCTGTCCTGGTGAGAGGGAATCTGGAGAACACACATCAGTTGCTGGGTGTCTTGTGGCTTTTTTTTTAAAAAAACACATTTCCTAAGTGTTCATTACCTCTGCCTAGCACTGTGCTGTACTTAGTGAACTTTTTAAAGTTACAGCTTAATTACCAGCTGTATACTGAGACAAATTCTAAAGTAGAGCTCTAAGTAAAACTTTATGAGCCAAGCAACATCCTTTCCTTCACATATTGTTATGGCTGCGTTGATAGTGGAAATGATAGCTCTACCAACTGCCAAGTTTCACTTTCCATCTCTTCAGAAGTTTGCCAACACTTGTCCTAAATGAATTTTTTGAAGAATTACAACAAGGTAATTGTTAGGCAGTGGCAGTTTTATTAAACTCAGGGTGGGCATTAATTCTCAGCAACTTGAAAAAACCAAGAGCTTTTTGGTCTTATTCTGGGAGGAATCAGCACACCACTTACCTTACACACCATGGGCGAGGCTGAAAGAGACAGACACCAAGCTAAAGCAAATTTTAGGCCAAAAAGACCCGAGTTAAGTGTAAAGCCAAAGTAGAGAAATTTAGAGAATTGAAAGAGCAAATATGTGCGGCCACTGGCTATGGCAAACTTGCAAATAAGCTGCAGAAACCTTGAAGTTGACTAGGACAAGGTTTAAGTGCAAACTGAATTAATCTATACTGTTATCTTGTCTGCAGTCAGTGCTACGACCACCTAAGGGGAAACTAAGGCAGATATAATGCAAATGGTGTCCAAAAAGGGATGAGGAAATTGCTAATCTGTACTAAGATGCCAAATGCACCAAGCGTTTTGATGGCAAAGCAAAAACTGTGAAATCAGATGGTTAAATCACCCAAAAATTAGAGCCTGAGGCTTATATTGGACCTCTTTCTCCCTAGCTTGGTGTACCGCATGACTGCAGTTGGACTCTCCTATGACTTCATGAGCTAAATCGTGTATGATGGGATGCATGTGTGTGCATTTTCATGCAATCGCCTTTTACTCTGAAAGTATCTGGGAGCTAAACAGGAGGTGGGAAAAAATCATAGGCAATCATATGAGCATGAGTCCTAGACCAGAGGAAGGACAGGGGAAATTGGAAATTTGAAAATCCGTAAGAATCCTCAGAAAACAACTGTTAAATTCCCAACAATTAATCTCATTTTAAAAAGATTTATATTGGAAAATCAGATTTACAGAAAGGAAGATCTTTTGTGTACTGCAAGTGGTTGCTGAAGCTCCTGGCTCCTGGCTTTGGAATGGCTCAGCTCCAACAGTTGCAGACACTGGGGAGTGAACCAGCAGATGGAAGATCTTTCTCCCTGGCTTATTCTCTGTAAATCTGCCTTTCAAGTAAAAATAAATCTTTGGGGAAAAAGCCATTAAACCTAGAACAATGGCTAAGTCCTCACCTTGTAAGTGTCATGATCCCATATGGTTGCCAGTTCCCGTCTCAGCTGCTCTACTTCCTTATCCAGCTTCCTGCTTGTAGCCTGGGAAGGCAGATACAGGATGGCCCAAGGCCTGGGACCCCACACTTGGTGGGAAACTTGGGAGGCAGCTCCTGGCTGGTTCAGCTCTGGCTGTTATGGCCATTTGTAGTGTGAACCAGCAGATGGAAAATCTCTATAAAATCTGACCTTTCTGCCTTTCCAATCAAAATCAATCTTCAAGTGTAAATTAATTAATGTACAGAAACGTATGGCAAATTGAAAAAAAAATTCTGATGGGGAAGTCTTCAAAGATCTTCACAAAAATTTATGAACAAATGGTATTTACAGAACTTGTGATCATTTACTTAGAATCTGAATTGTCAACAACATACTAAGTTATGGTGGAGGTACTCTGGCTTCTAAGACCAATGCTGAAAATGCTTCCAACAGTGTGTGTGAACCAATAAACCAGGCCCAGATCCTAAGATGTATATACCAGGAAGGGACTGGAGGGCTCATTAAAAAATGTTTGTTTGTGGTTGCAGTCTTGGTGTAGTTCGTATCCTGTTTCATAGGCTTATGTCCATGTTATTTCCCTTACAAGAAACAACACCATTGTTATTTTAAGACAAGATCCATGGAAAGGAAAATTTGAAATGGGAGTCTGTCTGTAGACCATCAGGACTTTTCTTCATGAATCCGGTTTTCTTTTTAACAGTGATACAGTGAAAAGAAACATTCAATAGGGATTATTCACATACATCCTTAAGGGAGTTTTGACAATTGTTTATGAAAATTTCAATGACGTAAGAAGTGGGATCAGAGGAAAAGACAAATTTCTTTAAAATGGTCGAATAGGGTAAAAATACAAAAAGGAGCAAGTAACTTCAAAATATTGATAGTTTTCCTTGTATTAATAATTAATTATAATAATTAAATAATATATACTAATAATTAATAATTTTTATTTTCTTTACACTTTTCCGTATTTCCAGTATCTTATCTTAAAATGAAAATGTCACTCTTTTCAAAACATAGCATTCTAAGTAGGACCCAAGGCAGTACCCTGGAAACCTGCCAACTTCCAAATACCTCACTGCTCTTTCCTGTTTCTCAACAATGGTGCTCTTAAGTCTGAACGGAAATGTGAAGTAAAAGGCAGTTTTTACAGTTTACTTTTGTTAGAAATTTTAATTTTCCCCTAGCTTTGATAGCAGATACAAAACACAGACGTACATGGGTCAAGAAGACAAAACGATTTTATCTGTACTGTTTAAAATATTTTTAAAGTGCAAGTTCAAGACCTTCTAGAAAACATTTATGGTATCCCTGGCATATATTAAATTTTGAAGAGCTACGACCTAAGGCTACAAAGTCATACTGTACAGTGTCCTGGTGGCACAGCTAGTGAGGCAGCTGCAGCCTTCTCACATGTCCAAGATTGCAGAGGGTTAACAAGATGTTCTGTGAAATAAGGATTTTGTTACAATTTCAATTGCTAAAGAAACCTTGATCTTTCCTAGGTGAACACAAAACCTCTGAGTTCAACTCTGCTACAAAACCCTTTCCAGGCAACCAAGAGTAAGGATACCCTCCACTTCGCTGCTGCTTCTGCTGAAGATAAGTGGCAGAGTCTGGTAACACATCAAGTAAATGAAATTGAAAAGTTCCTACGTTTCGAAAGTGACAGTCAGACTAAAAAAAGAAAAGCAGCAGAGATGATAGAAAACACAACCAACTGAATGAAATAAGGCTGATGGTTTTCAGTGGCAAAACGATGTAACAGATACCGATGGAGCTTTTATTAATAAGATAGCTAAAGTTTTCCAGTTGACGGATGCAGCTTCAGCTTTTCCTGATGCGTTGATGTTACATATCTGCTCTGTAAATGTGTCCAAAGAGAGCACTCCTAAAGCTGCAGAGCTCACTGTTCATCATTCCTGGCAATTAACTCAACTTTTGTCTCCCTTGTTCCCCTTTCTCAAAGTGTGTGTTAAGTATCCATTATTTAAGACAAACAGTGATGCTTTGCCATGTACTATTTTTCATCCTTTGGAGTTTTATTTGCGATAATAAATGCCAGACTAGTTCCAAATTTTCATTTATAATATTTTACTATGCTTAGGTTTTTCTCCTGTAAAAGAACAAAATTATATGCGGGAAAAAATTCAGGTATCAGAAAGACTCAAAAGACTGTTTTTCACTTTGTTCAAGTTTTGTTTCCAGGCATTAAGCGTATCGTATAGTTGCTGCCACTGCTGTTTTCCAAATGTCCGATGTGTGCTATGACTGAAAATTGAAAGATCAGAAACAAAGTGTTAGTCAACCTTTACCATCTGATATGCTTTCATAGCATTACACATTGGAGTTCAGCTTAAAAGCAAAATTAGATATATACAAAAAAGATTTCTTCTATTCCTGAACTACTATGTAAGGCAGGCACTGAAGTGATTAGTATTCTAGCCAGTGCTCAGCCATTAAATGAAATGTGCTGGAAAATAGGACTCTTTCATTAAATAAGCTAATCACATTCAGTCTGAAGTTTAATAAAATTATGATAAATAGCGACTATTTAACTACAGTCAACTGATAACACTACCATAGTTCTCTAAACATTTAAGTGAAACAATCGGAACAAACTCAAGTGCTCTACAAAATGCCAGAAGTATCACATGCTTACCTGACAACTACTTTTCTCTGCGTCTGATCAATTTTGCAATAGACCATTTTTGTTCTTACCGCTGGAAAAAAAATTGTACATGTGGAGAATTTTCAAGCAAAACAGCTAAGGTATGGCCAAGTGACCTTATAAAACTATTTCTAACAATATTTTGCAAACTGGCTTTCTGAATCTAATCAACAAAGTCACACTATATAAACACAGTCATGGATTTGTCCTATGCTGCTGGACCAAAATATATTGAATATACAGTTTTTATTAGAATTCTAGATATTCTTCCTAATAAACACATATGGGAAGAAAAAGGCAATACCTCTATAGTTCACTACTTCCTTAGGGCTGTTAAGTCTTAAGATTACAGAGGTATCTAATTTCTTCCTAATGAACTTAACTGTACAATCTGTTTTTCAAACTGAGCAATTTTACAAAAGTAAAAGATAGTAGTTAAAATCACTTTATAGTGTTATTGTTGGCAAAAAGGGACCTGCTTTTAACCTAATCATAAATTCCTGATGGTTAGCATCAGCAGATCATTTATTGACTGATACTGTGCTCGCTCTGCCTCCACTCATTCACTTACCCATCACAATCACAAATGCACTATATTCCAGGTCAGCCAATGAAATCTATGTTCTTCATCACTATGGCACAATCTCAGGGAACAGAAGTCACCAAAAACTACACAGTAATGTACATTTCCACTGATTTTCCATTCCACCAATAATACAAACATGCTATTATACATTTGCTACAAAAAAACTTAATCTTGCTAGCATGAGAACTAGTTTCAATATTAAAAAAAAAAACTATGTTTGAGGGAGGCTGGTTTGTGGTCAAGACACCCAGGAGTCCCCTGTTGAAATCCGATCCTAGCACCCAACTCCAGCTTCCTGTTAATGCAAACCTGGAGAGGCAGCAAATGATGGCAAGTAGTTGGATCCTGTCACCCATGTGGAGAAATCTGGACTGAGCTCCCTGCTCAGAGTTCTGGCACAGTACCAGCTGGTGGCAGCACATGGGAAGAGGACCAGCAGATGGGAGCTTGGTGGGTCTGTCTCTCATAGAATATTTAATAGAAGAGGAATTCTAGAAATGAAAATGTTCTAATTGCCTTACCATCAATTACAAATGCTTCAACATCATCAGCTCCAATCTGAAGTTCTTGCTGCATTGTATCAAAAGAAATTTCTTTATTTTCCACTGCCATTCCCATAAAAGTAAGTAGTCTCATTTTTGCCATATTCTGTTCATGTAAAAGGCCTGAGTAACAAAACATTGATGCCTGATGAACATGTCATTATTAAAGACCTATAAAGTGACAACTGTAGCAATCACTGAGCACTAATAAGAACTGTGGCAGAACTGTTTGTATCTGCAGACCATAATCTGACCCCAACAGTTACACATTATTTATAATGATTTGTCTAGAATTTAAAAAACAAAGTAGTACATTGTAGTCCCAATGTAAAAAAATTGTATTTTTAGTCTCCCAAATTTTTAAAGAGTACCAAGTTCACAGTTAGGTGCATCACTCAGAGCTGCTGACTTAAACGCAGGACTGCTCACCAATCCACCTGGCTGTGCCTCTCTATCACTAGTGAATGTTAAGTTCTATTTTCATAAAAAATTTTCCATTTCTCTTTAGCAGACTTACGACTGTCCAAGTGTGTTTGCCACTCAACATTTACAGGCTAACATGCTCAGCAGTAGATAGAGGACCATTAACATTGTTTGTTCTTTATAAAGCAAAAGCAGAAAACCATACATATAACTCCAATTCTGCATTACAATCTGGAATGAAGCATACTGTTACAGTAATTTAGATCACAACTTATCATGGCTAGAAGGAAACAACCAATGACCTAGTTCTAGAGCCTTTTACTTGAAACAAAAAAACAGAGATTACATCAATGACTTAGAGTGGTGGTGCTAGTCCTAAGAACATAGGTTCATTTACATAATAAATGGCTTACAAAAATGTACAAATTTTAAATACCCGAATGACAGCATGTCCCTAAGTAAAAGCAGAAATGTAAATCTGTTATGATCAAAAAAAGTTTCTAAAATGAATTTAGAATGTTTATGTTCCTCTTCTTGAAGTTTCAAGTTATGTGAAACTCGGCAGTGATCAATGATGTGCCTTATAGAAAGTCAGAACCCGAGTTGTGCTGTTAAAAAGTTGTATCACCCTAAGCAATCCATATTAAGATTGGAAATTTATAACATTCACATATTAGAGAAAGATTAAGGAAGTCGTTAATATAATGCATGATCATGTTAATTAACTTTAATTATGATGCAGGCTTCCTATTTGGCACAGACTCAACAAAAACATGATCATCATAACTCAAATGAATGAGGTGCACAAGTAAGTATTGTTAACTGGTTTAATGGAAGCCTACAAGCATCAAAAATCAATTAGTGCACATTAACCCTAATTAACAAATGCAAATTATATGCTGATTAACTTTCTGAAGCAAGAAGGTAGCAACTGAATAACACCAGATTACATGTGGACATGTTAGGGCAATTTGGTTAACACGAGATAATGCTACTGTTGGCCTAAGTTGTCAGTGTTGATAAAAAAAGTGTTTTCATAAACTGACATCACCTGTGGCATCTGCACATTTATAACCGTTGAGCTGCAATACATGTCTAATAATAAACCTAAAGCCAACACTACCTCCCAGGAGCCTCTTACATAAACAATTTTCTAATACAAGATTATTTGAACAGATGCTCATAACAAAAATTAAGGAATGTAATTTTTTTGTTGTCAGAACTGCAATGTTAAGAATTTTTTCCTGTCAAGAGTTCAAGCACTAAACATTTTCAAAAGTTCTGTCACATTTCAGTTTTATAGATATGTGAAGCAAAAAGTTGACAGAAAAAGAATTTGGTGTGCATTTAAAATTCATACATGTTTTGCAATGTGCATTCCCACAAACTTTGAAGACTCCTCCCTTTGAATATGATAAAATGGGAACTCCTGAAATTTCCAAGATATGATTTAAAATACTCTTGAGATTCAATCCATTTTAGTGCTGCCTGCTTTCAACTTATATGAATGAAAAAACTTTCAGAGGAATAAAGATCATTTTCACAATGAACTACATAAAATCATTATCTATTTTGCATGTGGAAACTTGTTTCTAAGCCATTTAGACTCTTGGTCGGCAAGAGTTCACACTATGAACACAGTGGAGAGAGAGGTCTGAAAACAGCAGCGCTTTGTTTCCTCAAGTCACAGTGTTCCGTGTCATATTTCAATTTCAAAGTTATAAAAAATCCAATTTTATGGAAACATTTATTCATTACTAATATGTCAAAACCTTAATGCAGTAATAAAAAAATGTGCATCATTGAGCAATTTCTGCATTGTCACTGACCCGTCTTAAAATGCTGCAATATAGAAAACGCAATTTTAATGCATGCAATAGCTTATGAACCAGTGCTCCTTTGAAACAGTCAATTACACATCAATGGGGGAGTGTCAAAGTGTTAATTACAACTCCTTTTTCCTTGGTGCGTAAATAAAGAGGTTGCTGACATTAACATTCCATCACATAGCTTCATGCCACACAGCAAATTAACTGGGACAGAGTGTGGCTTTCTGGGTCTAGTATACCTGGCAAAGTATTCTATACACACACAATTGCATCAGCCTTATCTTTGTGCATTTCAAGTGCTTTGTGCAGAATTCTTCAGTCTTCCCCAATTTACTGCACAAAATTTACACGTGATGGGAATTAATAACTGCCGAATTAAGGATTGCATATACCCAAAATAGTTATACTCAACTATATCCCAATCAGGAAGACTGACAGCCCTACTACACAGATTATTGCCTAGCAGAAAAACAGCACCTTAGCTTCATTGCTGGATTTACTTTGAAAAAACTAGCAATATCTTTAAAATATTAAAAATCTGTTAAACTGCAGACTTTCTAAGTTTTCTTTTTGTAATTTTAGTATGTTAAAAACAGGATCCAGAAGGAAATTAAAACACTAAACCTTTGCAGGATTTGTACAACCAGAACTTCTATTTAATTTGGCAAACACTGAACTCATGTTACCTTCTTCAAACTATGATCAGCAAAATTTCTAGTACTGTTAAAAGTACTCCATTTCTATTTCAAATTCTCTCAGATCCCAATTAGCAAAACTGTGTCTGTATATTGTGTAACTGTTACATGTTGGG